TAATGAAGGAAATGTTGGAGAAGATGGAAAAGAAAATGAAGACGAGGAGGATGATAATAATGATAAAGATGATGATGAGTTTGATTCTACATTAAGTATTGCAGATAAAAAGAGAATGTGCCGTTATCGGTTATCTTGTTATGCTGATAAGGGAATTAAAATTCCAGGAAAATATGGAGGGAAGGAACAGAAACAAGAAAATGGGGAATATATTTCATCTGGGAAGAGAACACTTGGGGGAACAAAACTTAAAATTGTTGATGTTGAAAAGAAGGCAACATTAAAGGATGCAGCAAAACAAGTATATAAATATTTAAATGAATTTTTAAAAATAAATTAATTAGGCAGTAAAAAAAGTACGTCAACAAGAAGCAGAAGGAGAAGTACTTCGAGAGAAATATGTATATGATGGTGAACGAGTACTTGCTGATTTTTGGGCAGAATTGGAACGGAAAAATCGTTGTAAATATAGAAGAAGTTGCTATTTAAGTGGAAAATTACCAGAAATTAAACAAAGCGAAATTTTACAGTGGTTAGGAAGTTTTGGAAGTAGTGGATTTTGGAAAGGAGAAAGAGAAGAGGAAAATGAGGAAGAGGAGAGGGATGAAGATGGGGAAGAAGTTGAATTTGGTTAGATATTTTTTTGAATTATTTTAAAAAATATTAACATTAAACAGAAAATCTGAATGAATATGAGAGAAAATTATTTTGTCGGTATAGAAATTCATGTTACAAAAATGGAATTAAACCAAAAATTAATAATAACTCGATAACTACATTTGGAATGAAAGAATGGAATTTTAACAATGTAATTAAAGATTTAAAAGAATGGTGGGGGTTTGAAATGGAAGGAAAACAAAAAATTGATAAAGAAGAGGGAAAACAAACAAAATTAGAATGTAAATATAGAAAAAGTTGTTATTCAAGTGGTAAATTACCTGAAGAACTTAGAATTGATAAAAATGAAGAAAAACAAACAATAACAAAAATTTTGGAGGGGAAAAAGGTTAAAATTTTAAACAATATATGAATTAATTAATATGTGAAAATTAGTTATTTAAACATGGGGTTAAAATCTCTTTAAAGTTAAAATTTAATATAGAGAACTTAATATTTAAACTCTCTCACAGACTTGATAAATTTCGGAAATTATCTGAGAGAGGAACTTTAGCTTACTGTCAACAACCAAAATTGGAAAATTTTCTATACCATGAGCAGGGTAGATTTAGTTTTTTGGATTTTGTTGGCTCTGATATAGGGAAATTAGAAACAAAAATTAGCGTTGTTTAGGCGAAAGAAGGTTCCATAAAAATTTTTAATTTGTTTGTAGACAATAAAGGGGGATCTATATTAATCATTTATTTCTTTAAAAAGGTGCCAACAAGCGTAAAAGAACTTAAATTATTTTGTAAATATCGAAAAAGTTGTTATGTTGCAAATGCAGCAATTCAACAAACGGAAATAATTGAAAAAGAAAAACAAAATAAAAATTTTACTGTAGAGGAGAAGAAATTAATTATTAATAAATCTATGAAAAACAGTTCACCGCCAAAGGAAGAAAAAAAAAATAAAAAATTGCCTAAAAATTCTTCTAAAAGAAAAATAAAAATTGAAGAAAAAGAAGAGGAAAGTAAAAAAGAAAAAATTAAAAAGGATTGTTTTGTTGATAAAAAAAGAATTAAAGAAACAATACCTCCCCAAGAAGGATGTAAATTTATTGAAAAAAGAAAAGAAGAAGAAAATGATGGAGGAAATTTAGAAGAAGAAGTAAAGAAGAGAAAAATGAAGAAATATATAGTAAATGAAGAAATTAATGAAATAAAAGAAGAAAAGGAGGAAATGGAGGGGGAGGGGGAAGTGGAAGAAGAAGAAGAAGTGAAGGAAGAAGAAGAGGAGGAGGAGGAAAAGGAAACAAAAAATAAAATAAGAAAAAATAAAAAATATAATATAGAAACAAAAGAAAATTTGCTTGAAGAGAAAAAACAATGGAAAAGAAGAAAAAGTTTAAATGAAGGTAAGGAGAAATAATGATAAGAGAAAATAATTTAATATTTTAAAGATAAACCTTTATTTGATTGGAGAATATTAAGTAATTTATTATTAACGGGTAGTAAAGAGCCGCGTGAATTTGAAATTGAGGAATGGGAGAAAATGAGTGAAAAAGAACGATTATTTCGATGCCGGCAAGTTTTGGAAATTAATTTTTAATTTCAAAATTAATTTAAAAGATATCGACTGAGTTGTTATGATAAAATGAATAAAATTATGGGAGGAAAAAAAGAAAAATTTAAATTAAAAATTGCAAAAACAACAAAAATTAAAGAGAAAAAAGAAGAAAATGAGGATAGTAAATATTTAATTAAATCAAATAATATATTGGATAAAAATATAAAATTGGCTTGTAAATATAGAAAAAGTTGTTATGAAGGAATTGAAAATAATGGAGAGACAAAAATAATTGGAGGTAATTTTAAAAGCCAAAAAATTAATTTAAAATTAATTTTTAGTAAAAAAAGAAACAATAAAATCCCCTCCACCACCACCACCAATTAATTGGACAACAATAAATCTAGAAAAATGTAACAAATGGAGAATTTCTTGTAGACAAGTACTTGGATTGCCAATAAAGGAAAAAGCACCGATTGGGCCGAATGGGAAAAGGTTATGTCGAAAAAAGAAAGAAGAGGAAATAATAATTAAAGGAGGAGGGAAAGCAATTAAATAGAAAATTTAATTTTAGAAATTCTGAATAATAAATAAAAATAAATAAATGTTTTATATTTTTTAAAATAAAATCAGTAAGGGGATTCATTAACAAAAAAGGAAAAAAAAATTAAGAAGAAAGAATCTCAAATTAGGATTGTCTATTATTGTTGATTTAGTTATCAAGCTCTAAGTTCAGAATACACATAAGTGCAATTTTCGAAAGACTTCAAGATGTATAATTACTAGAGTTTCCCAAAAGTTCTTGCTGTTTCAAATGTAAATCATATTTAACACGCATGTCAATCGTAACCTAGGTATATGCCATTCAAAAGCTTGATTCTTATCTTTTTTTGACATGTTTCAGCGTTTTTTAAAAAAAATTCAAAATTTCTGAGATATAAACGGAAAAAGTGGATATATGTATGTATTATTTTTTACTTTAAAAATAAAAATAAAAAACGAAATATAAGCTAATTATTTTCCACTAAAAAACTCAACAATTTTTTCCAAATCACATTCCCCCTTCAAAATATCCAATAATTCTCTAGTTTTATGTTTAACATTCTGTCCAAGCATTTTAAATTTATCGATATACAAATCTGTAATAATTCCAAGTATTCTATCCAAATGTATTTGTTGATTGTCTACTTCTTTATGTAAATGTTCGTAATTAGCTAATAATTGTTTTAATTCGGAATTTAAATAACTTAAATCTTCAAATGTTGCTTCAAGTTCCTTTAAATTTAATTTACAAAAATTTTTTTAAATGGACTTTTAAACTATCGCCTATTTTCAGTAAAATTAGGGTTGTTTCACGACCGGTTTTAAACCCAAAATTTTGATATTTTTGCCAAAAACTAACCGATTTTACAAAGTTTAAAAAACCGAAAACTTGTGAAAATGAGTGATTTTATTAAAAGTTTCCCCAAAATAAAACCGGTATTTGTCTAAAATTCAAAATCGAAAGCCAGCCTTTTAAAACTTGGATTAACCGAAAACCGGGTGTACCGGCTAATAATCGGTAGTGAACAACCCTAGTAAAAATAGAATGTATTTTTTAATTAGAATTTCTAAAATAAACAATACACAAAACACAAATAAAGATACTTTACAAATAAAAAGAAAATTAACATTTACATACAATTAATAACCAAAACACCAAAAATACACACAATTAAATACATTTATTTAATTTATTTATTTCCCCTCTTTTTTACTTCCACTACTAATTTCTTCTTTCTTCTTCAAACTTCCTTCATTCTTTCGCAAAGAGCTACTAGCAGGCATATTAATTCGTAATGATCCAACAGCTGGAGCACCATCCCCAACAATTGAAGGAGAACCTAAAGAGCCACTTCCACTAAAAGTTCCTCCTCCTCCTCCATCCCTCATAGATCCAAGCATTTGAATATTTCCTCTAATTGACTTTTCTGAAGTTTTTGTTGGCCGAAATTCCAAGTCTAATGACAGAGAATTTTCACTTTTTGATTCGTTTATGTGAACACCAGAAATTATTTGTGGAGGGCCGCCAACAGTTTTTGATTCAATGTCGATTGAAAGTTCTGGACGGGATTTGGTTTTCTCTAATGGAATATCTTCTTCTTCTTTCTTTTCTTCTTTTTTTGGTTTTTCTGCCGTACTTTTACGAGAAATTGAACGTGAACGAGAACGTTTAATTCTTCTTGTTTCCATTGCCAAAAGAAGCGCTTCACGTCTTGCATGAAACCATTTACACAAACGAACACAGGAATACTTTAAATGAATTTTCTGTTTAGAATCTCAAAAAAACTTACAATTAAAAGACCAAATAAACCCATTCCAATAGCAGGAAAAACAAAAGTAACAATAATTTGCCACCAATTAGTTGATGGATGTCTTTCCCAATCATTCAAAATAGAATCCCACGATTTTGGCAATTTTCGGCTTTCTGCTTTTGGATCAATTAATTGAATGTTTTGTGCGGCCGTTGAAGTAGAAAATATTGAAGATAATACATTGAGGAAGAAGAAAATGTGAAGAAATGATTGTTTTGTAATTAATTTAGATAAAAACATTTTTGGAGGACTTTAAAAAACGTTTTTTAATGAGAACAAAATAGGAATAAACATACAAAAATTAGGCGACGAACAATGACGATAACACTTTTGATTAACAAACAAGAATAAAGAGAATTTTAATGTTTTTATAGTGAAACAAACAAACAACAACAATAAACGAACAAAACATGCTACAAACAAATAAAAACAAACAAAACATTACTCAAAACATAAACAAAATTTTAAATGTTCTCTCAAAAAATATTTTCAAAAGAAATTAACCTTTAACCCTCTCGCTAATTCCAATTGTCTAACTAGCCGACTTTGATATTCCAATTTAGGCCAAATTAATTCTAAACATTTTTTAATACTTTCCTCATTAATATCACAAGCAATATGTACTTTTATTTGTCCCATAGAAACAATTCTGCTAATAACATCACGTAAAATAACAATTGTGGATAAATTGTCAGAACGATAACTAACTCTCCCTTTACTTTTTTTGAGGAAAAATTTTTTTAATTTTCTTTTTAAAAACACCTATAATTAGCTTGTAATTGAGTCCCTCCATTAAATGTTGAACGAAAATTAAAAGTAACAGTCTCTGCCTGTGGACAACGTTCGGGAACTTCAGCTAAACACAAAGCTAACCAAGAATGGGCTTCTGCTATTGAAAATGAGCCTGTCAGAGTTAAAGTATTCATTGGACGATGTTCATCAAAATAGTGGATACGTTCGTGGAGGGCAAGTGGTTTTATTGGGTAAGAACAGACCTGGAAATTTAAAAACACATACAATTAATTCCTTAATTAAAAATTCTGTAGAATTAATTAAATTTACTTTCCAATATTTTTAAAAATAATTTTTAAACGTGGGAATTATTTAAAATTAAAAATTAAAGGATAAAAAGAAACATTTTTGGCAATTTTGAAATTTCCAAAATTGTTAATTTAAAAGAAAAAAATTTAAAAGTATATTAAATTACTTAAATAAAACAATTAATGACAAATTTTTGAAATAAATTGTCTTAAATTAAATGAGAATAAATGTTTATTTTAAGTATTTTAATTGAAAATTAATTTTATAAATTGACGTTTATTTAGTAAATATTGTCCATAAAAATATTAAATAAAATTCCATTTAAAAAGTCTAAGAAAATGGGCAACATTCCCATTTATTTTTTAAAAACTAAAAACTAATAAATAACTATTAGTTTGTCCAAAATTTAGAAAATACTTTTAAACTTTAAAAAATGCCCTTTTTTCTCTCGAAGTTAGTCTTCCATAAATTAAAAATTTTTTTGAATTTTAAACTTAAAAGAAATTTTATTTCAAATCCCCTAATAAAAGTTGTTTAAATTATATTCCAAATTACAATTTTTAAGTGAAAATATTAAAATTAATTATTTAATTAATTTATTTATTTAAATTTCAAGTCAAAGTTTAAAAAATAATTTTCAGACATTTCGTGACTAAATATTTAACTTTAAATTCCTAAATTTATTATTCCCCTCCCCCAAAAAATATATTTAAATCCATTTTTAGAATTTTTTCTTAGTAAATTATTTTACCTAAACAACAACTCCTTCCACTCCTCCTCCTCAATTTATTTCTTAAAAATTTAAAAATTTTCTTCCTACTTTCCTCCTACACGTTAAAAACTAAACACGCACATTTACACGCTTTTTTGCATTTTAAATAAGTTGAATAAAAATTATTTTGACTTTGAAAACTCAAAAATAAAATTGTTGTTTAATATTTTTTTAGTTTTTTTTTCTTAATAAATTATTTTTTAATTTTATTTAAAAATAAAAAATATATACTGAATGCGGCAAATTAGGCGCGGGATGCTTTTAGCATAACTTTTCTAAAAAATATTTTTGTACTGCTCCGGGTGTTTGACAAATTCGTTCTCATTGTCCGAGATCATATCTATATCACGTGGTACCAGAAATTATTAAGATATTGTACAAAGTCAAATAAAAAAATAATTTACAATTTACGAATTAAATTGAAGCGAGTTGAACTAAAAATAACTCGAGCGCCGTGCCGTATCCAGTATTATTTTTTAAATTTATTTTCCACAAAAATAACATTAATAAATCTACATATATTTCTGTCCTACAATAGTAAATGTGCGAGAGAACCCCATAAGTGAGATTTATAGAAAAAATCTAAAGTTACATTTACGGTACTCGGAATTACTCGAATTTTAATTAAATATTCACATAATTTTTTCCTTCTCCCACCTTTTCTTTCTCTTATTTTCAATTTAACAAATAATTACTATTTAATTTAAAGGAATGCCATTTAATCTTCCCCGTTTAAATCCAAGTATTCTTCAACTTATTCCAAATTCTTCAATAAATTTAAACTCCAAAAATATTCCTCGGCTTTCCAAAAATTTATTTTTAATGTTTTTTATTATTTTAATAATTAATTGTTATTTTTGTTTAATTTTACAAGTTTCTTCAACTCCAATAGAAGTAAATTTAATTATTTAAATAAATTAAATAAAAATTATTTTTAGACAAATGATCAAAATTTAAAAGAAGAAAAATATTCTTTTAATTTAAATTCTCCTAAATTAATAGAGAATAAAAGAGAAAATGAAGAACAAATTAATTATTTTAAAAAACAAAAAACAAAATTACCTAATTTTTTGTTTTTAAATGAGGAAATAACAAATAATAATGAAGACTTAAATAATAAAATAAATAAAAGGGGGATAAATGGACAAACATTTATTGAGAGAATTATTAAAGGAAATGAACGAAGACGTGAATTATTAAAGGTAAAAAGTTAAAATTTTATTAAAAAATTATTTAAAGAGTTACTTTTCCCCGAAAAATTTTATTTAATTTTGTCTCGAGAATAGGGTTGCCAAGATGGACTCGAACCGAAAGATCGAATCGGGCCCGATAAAATACCTCGACGGTCGGCCCGACTCTGAAAACGGCAACCATACTTGAGATTTTTAGATTATTTATTTATTTCGGAAATTTAAAAATTATTATGTATTATTATTTAAATAATTTCTAATTATTAAAGTGGAAAAGAGGAGCAGGAGATTTTTGTGGTTGTAATATGGGCTGTTTCTACCATTCTATGGGATTGTGTGCATCTTGCTGTTCTTTGGGACTTTAAATTTTAAAATAAAATTGGAAAGAATAGAGAGGAATTTGAATAAAAAATATTTGATAAAATAATTGGATCTCTAATTAATTAATTAAGTGCTAAATTAAAACGAGTAAAATAAAAAATTTGTTTTGATTAATTAAAAGAATTATGTAAAATTTAAGTAAAAATATTTTAATCCTTAATAACAAAAAAAAGGAATTTATTTTTAATAATTTATTTAAATACCTTGCATGTAAGAGGAACAAGTCTAGGTACAATATATAAACGTAAAGTGCCAAATTGTCCTTCAATTGATCTAATACGCATTTCCTAAACAAAAATATATATTTAAATATATATCCCTACCATTCTTGTAATATCAGCCTGACAACGATAAACAGCCAAAAGGGCATTCCCTGACTTGATTAAAAATTATTAAACTATGTATTTATTCAAATTTACTTCATTTTCTGGTTCAGTAACAGAAATAACTGCAGAATTCCTTTCAACATCCAATAAATCAACTTTAACATCACTTTGTAGCAAGACATAATCTATTGGAATTGCTAATTCAACAGACAAATTATAGCTTAAAAAATAAATAATTTTAGAACAAAATTCTTTTCTACCAAGCCAATTCTTTTCTCAATTCAAATCTATCATTAACAGTAAAAGCCATTAAACTTGTATTATTCCCTATTAAATTTCCATTTGCAGGTACTTCACTAGCTATTTGATTTAAACGAGTCATTTCATTATTAAACCGTTCTCTTTCATCTTTTACTTTAATTTCTAATTGCTCTATTTCTAATCTAGAAAGAGAAGAAAGTACATAATTATTTTAAATTTAAATTAATCAACTACCTCATTTGTTGTACTTTAATTTCCATTTCTGGCGCCTCACTTCCTCTTTCATCCAATCCAGAATTTATTGCAAATACAGGCTCTGTTGTTAATCCAAATACCCAACCTTTTAAATTAATTTTAAATTTTTCTTTTCTCATTTATTAATACCTGTATACGTAGTAACTATCAATTCTGGATATATTCCATTACCTACTCTCCCTCCTTGTAATCCAGTAATACTTTCTTCGCATTGATATGATTGACGAAATGTTAACTTTTTTAAATGTTTTTAAAAAAATAATTTTAAATTAAAAGTTTACATTATTATTTTCGTCTACAGCATATAATTCAATAAGTCCATCATCCTTTCCTATCTACAAAAAAATTTTAAAAAGGATTTAATTTTAATTTAAATAATGGTAGCACCCCGTCCCCCGACTATTTTTTGGCATAAACCCCGATCCAAACCCCGAAGGCTCTACCCCGACAAACCCCGATCCCCGACAATCCCGCCCCCGAAGGCTCGGGGTGCTACCCTAATTTAAATAACCAAAACATCTGGTTGTGTATTATTCTCCTCTCCCATCATTGGATAACAATGAATTGTGGAAATAGCTACACCTAATTTTAAATAATTAATTTATTTTTCTTTTTTACTTCCAAAGGATTTTGTCTCGAATTGTTGACACATTGTCCAAAAATCTACCCCCAAATCAACTAAACCAATATATCCATTTTTACATCCAAATAATACTTTCTGTTTATTATACCCTCCATCATTACAAAAAAGATGTAAAACTGTCGGGACTTCGTTTAATGGAACCTTTTAATAAAGAAATTATTTTTTAAAAAGAATTTAAAACTTGATAAACAATTCTTGAACCATCCAAAACTTTAATTGTTTTATCAGCACAAGCCTTTAAAAAGGGATAATTTTTAAAATAAAGATCTGAGTGATATAAGGATGGGGAAGACGGTTAAAGACAGATTTGGCCAATATTTTTTAAAATCCCAATTCAACAATTTTTGAGGAATCAACTCTTTACATTCATCTATTTACTAGAAATAATTAACCAAAACAGGTGTTAATCCACGTCCAACCCATCCACCTTCTGTTATAGGTAAACAAAGAATGTCAAGAATATTGTCGCTACAAGGAAAATGCTAAAAAATAATAAAAAATATTTTTCAGAAAAATTTCAGAAAAATTCCCAACACTTTTCTCGATACAATCGTGAAAATGATAAAAAGAGTTTTTGCTTGCAATTAACATATCAATACCATAAACATATAAAGATTGAATTGATTCTGTTAAATTAGAATTAAATGCCAAAAATTGTTTTCCTTTACGGCTATATCCTCTAACCTTTTTTAATTAAAAATTTTTAAAATTCATTTAATTAATTAAATATACTTCAGTTCCACAAGCAATAAATGCTTTATCTTGTATAGAACCTAAAGCACCTCCCATCTAGATTTATTTTTCTTAAAATCGAATTAAAATTAGAATACCATAAGTCTTCGAATTGGAGGGCCAGGAGGTGTTTTATAGAGAATCTAAAAATTGGAAAATAAATTTATACAAAAAAGTAGCAAAGGTAGCCACCGTGCAGGATTCGAACCTGCAACCACCTTGCAGTTTTTGCTAGGCGCTTTCGTTCACCGTTTATAGGAGCTTTACCATGAGCTAACGGGGCATCGTCTAATGTTTTCTCTCTTATCCTTTTAGATCGTTTAACCCCCGCCTAAGCGTTTTAAATGCTCTAGGTGAATCATCCTTACAATATAAATTGTAAAGGGCCTCCAAGTATATCAAATAATATTTTTATTAAATTCCCTCTAATCTCCCCTTCTTTCTAAATTTAAAAGCAACACAAACATTTGTATTTCCATCTTTCCTTTCCATACATAACACAACCCCATTTTGATCTCCAATAATTAATTTATCAGTTTCATTTTCATTTAATTTATTTTTCCTTTTATTACTCCCTTTCCGTTTAATTATTAATTGTTCTCCTCCTCCTCCACTTTCTGTAGTATTTTCTAATTTAATTGTGGAATGTCTTCGAGTACTTAGATGGCTGCCATCTACAGAAGTTGTGTGAATTACTCTAAGACAACCTTTTTAAATAAATAAATAATTTTAATTTTAAATTTAAATATACAATTTGTTGTAGTCCCAACATGTGCATAATCTACTCTATTGAGATTTAATTCCATTTAAATATTTTTTTTTTTGTTTTTTTAAAAAATTTAAAGAAATAAAAGTAAATGGAAGGATAATTTTTAAAAACATTTTTTTGGTTACCTGGCAACCTACTTAATTTGTAAAAAACAATTTATATTAAAAAATTGTTTTTGTAATACAGCATGCAAAACTTCATAAAATTCAAAGAAAAATATAAAATTTATATAAATATTTTAATTTAAAAATTGAATAAGTGTATTTTACTTCTTAGTTTTATGAGAAGAATTATTATAGATAAAAATTATAGTACAAGAGCCAGTTGTCATTATAAATATTTTTGTAGAAACAACAATCAAAAAATGATTTTACCTGTTAAGGAATTAATAAAACATTGTAAAAAGAAAAAGATTCAACTAGCTAGCATTTAATGCTTACCAGAAGGTCGCAGTTTAACCCATGCTGGAGATCAAATTTTTAACTCCTGACTGTATGGAATAGCCAAAAATATTAAAAATTTTTAGTCCTTATAAAATGATTTTAATTAATTATATTTATTCCACAAAGTTTAATTAACAAAAAGTCAATGGAAAAAAAGAAAAGTATGAAAAAATCAAAGAATTATAGAAAGGAAAGATTTTTTAAAATCATTTTATTTAATTAACAGAATTTTTTAACAAAATTTATTTTTTTAACATCCATTTTTTCTTTAAAAATAATTTTTATAAAGAAAATTATTTTCAACAGTCAATATATTTATAACATTTTCCATTAGCACAATGACCAATGCAGCAATCATCAGTTGTTTTACATGTTTTTAATGAACATTGTTTACATTTTTTTAAATATGCAACACATTTCGTTCCATAACAACATCCATCTTTTAAATAATCACATGTTTTTCCTTCTTTAATACATTTATTATTATCCGAACATTCATAACCACATCCTAAAGGAGTATGTATACAATAGTCTGGACCTTTGCAACATCCACTTTGAGTGGTAGAGTTATCACAATGAGCCGTCTGTGGCATGCATTGATTAGTTAATTTAAATAATATTATTGACAGAAATAAACAACAAATTATTTTTATTGAATAATAAGTCATTTTTTTGATTTATTTAATAATTTAAATTTAAAAATAATTAAAAAAAACACTTTTGCTACTAAAAGAAATTTATTTGGATGTAGGTAGTTATATATATTATTTGGATGTAGGTAGTTAACCACAAATTTTTTACTTTTTAGTAAATCCCCGATTCTTTAACAGAAATTAAAAATTTTGGTAGTAAAACTTTAATTTTGGGCAATCGACACTTTATATTATTAAGGTAAAATCTCACAAGTATGAATAGCCTTTGAGGCTTAAATTAACTACACGGAATTACTTATAGCTTAGGCAAAATACTCCAAAAACGTTTTTCACTCAGTTTCTCTTTCCAACATTTTGGTGTTTCCAGTAGTCGAGTTTATATGAATTTGACTGGTCCTGATGCAACTAAATTCGCTTATAATGGAAAGAAGATGAGTGAATTTACTTTTTTTCGTTCATCTTCTTTCCATTATGAGCGAATTTATTAGCACCAGACCAGTCAATTTCATATAAACTCGACTAACAGGAACACTAAAATACACACACACACCTACCCATCTCAAAATAAATTTTAAAAAATGTATACTAAATTGGGGATTTACTAGCAAAAATGTTTTCTAAAAAAATTAAAACTTTTTGGGCAAAAATTTTTTTTTATTTTTGTTTTGTTTATTTGAATTAGCCAAATTTTAATTTTATTTATATACACATTTGTTAGTTAGAATATACCTAAAAATTGTCAATGAACTTTTGTTTGTAGTTTAGAAAAATTCAAAGTTTATTTTAGGCTCTAAATGAAAAAATATAAAAACTTTTTTGGAATATTTTTGGAAAATATTTTCAAAAAAAATTTCTTTTTTTGTGTTTTACCGCTTCTTCACACTAAAAATAAACAAAAATAAAATTCCTTCTGAATAAATAATTCAAGAATAAAATACGCATGATTTAAAAATTAATTTTTACTCTTTTTTGGATAGTAATGTACGATTGGTGAATGTAAATCTGCTAAATTAATTTAAAAATTAAAAGAAAATATATGGATGAAAATAAAATTTTGATTTAAATAAAATGAAAGTCAAAATTTTGATGTAAAACACAGTTTCTACAGGGTGATTATTAAATTACTTTTACGAATCTAAAATTATTAGTTCGTATAAATTTAATTTAAAATAGTATAGATAGACAAAAATGCCCAAAAGTCTCTTTTATTTTTGCTAATTACTAAATAAAATATAATTTAATCTTTAATATATTTAGGGTATTTTCCTTTCTTAATATTTTTAAGCAAAAGTCTTTCCATTATGAGCGAATTTATTTGCATCAGGCCCAGTCAATTTCATATAAACTCGGCTACCAGGAACCCCAAAATGTTCAGTAAAAAGTTTTGTCATTTCCCCAGTTACTTTGTTTGGATCAGTAAATCCCCCAATTGATTGAAGTTCGGCATAAATAAATGGATCGGTAGAACCTCCAAACCAACCAACATTTCCGGCATTAACTAAAACCTTGGGGAAAAATTGAATTTTAATTTTTTTCAGAGGTAGTAAGGGCGTAGGCCGGGGGCTAAGGGAGGCTGAAGCCTTCCCTGAAATGGGGGAAAATGAAAAATTTTGGGAGGGAAATGATCAAAAAGTCAGCACCCAAAATTTTCGTTGCGGCAGTAAAAAAAATTTGCGTCCGAAACGCCAAAATTTTTGCCACTTGCAATTGACCACCTAGCTAAGTCCTTGAAGGGTAGTAAATAAAATTTAGTGAAATTTAAAGTTAAAAAAGAGGTACCGTAAATATTCTAGTAAAGCCCTGGACTTATATTTTTCAGTGGGTCTCCTCGGATGGGCTTATTTACTGTATGTATATTATTTTAAAATAAATTATTAACCATAACGTAGGATTCTGGCTTCCCAGTTAGAGCTGCAATATTCGCAGAAGCAATTTTTGCAAATTTAGGTGGAACAGATTCTGTTGAAATATTTGTAGAAATTTGTAAAACTGGCATATTTTAATTTTTAACTGAAAATAATAAAAATAAATGTTATAAACAAAACATAAAAATCATTTGGGAATGTTTAATTCATCTAGGTAAAATTAAAATAAAATATACTTATAAAAAATTGAAAACTTAAATACAAATCTTTACTAAATAAACACTAATTAAAAATTAAATAAAAACCAAAATTTACTACTACAAAGAACAAAAAAGCTTATTCAACAAATAATAAAATTGTCGATTCAACAATTAATTTTAAAAAAATTAAATTGAAAAAATAAATATATAATCTTGAATTACTAATAAGTGAAATAATTGAGCACATTAAATTCTCTAAAAATTATCCTTTTAATTTCCCATCACAAGCAATTTGATTTGCATCAGGCCCAGTCAATTTCATATAAACTCGGCTACCAGGAACCCCAAAATGTTCAGTAAAAAGTTTTGTCATTTCCCCAGTTACTTTGTTTGGATCAGTAAATCCCCCAATTGATTGAAGTTCGGCATAAATAAATGGATCGGTAGAACCTCCAAAACAACCAACATTTCCGGCATTAACTAGAACCTTGGGGAAAAATTGAATTTTAAAAATAAAGGAAATATTTTCGTACCATTACAGAATTTTCCTTTTTCCCAGTCAAATTCGCAATAATTTTCGCTGCTTGTGAAAATTCTGAAGGAATTGATTTTGATGCAATATTTGTGAAAACTTGTAAAATTGGCATATTTAATGAGCTAGAAAAATTAAGTTAAATTTAAAAAAATTAAGATATAAAATAGGAAAAACAACAAAATAAATTATTGAAATAACAAAAAGAAAACAAACTTTATTAAACAAAAAATATTTTCAATTTTACAAAAATTGATCTAAAAATTCCTCTAATTTTTCTCGAATTTCTTTTGGCGGTGGAATACAATGTTTTCCTGGATGAGTACAAATTTGAGCATTTTTAAATAATTCTTCAGATAATTCCTCACTTCGTTTGGGTAAAACAATCTTTTTTTTATTAAAATAATTTTTATTTAAAAAAATCACCTCATCATTTAATCCCCAAATATGCAAACTTTTAACACAAATTTTAACAAAATTAAATTGATTATGAAAACTAGAAAGACTTTTAAAACCAGAAAATAATATCACAAAACGAATATTTAATGAAGGATTTGATGCAAGTAATAAATAGATAAAAGAAGCTCCTTGGCTAAAACCAAGAAAGCCGTCAAATGGTCCCTGAAATGATTTTTTAATTTTTAAATTTTTTTGAATAAATTATTTGAATAATTGCTCCCTATCGATGTTTTCATTAAAAGGAATTAGAATAAACTCAAAAATAAGCCCAATAATTTTCTTGTAAATGACGAGACATTTAGTGACGAAAAGTTTATTTTTTTTTTGCCCTTTCACGATATGTTCTTCCTAAAAAGGAAATCACATTTTCATGTAAATAATTTAATTTTTATTTTATTTTTTTTTAATTTTGGAGATTTAGACAAATATTTAGACAAAAATGCTTCCTCATGAAATTCAACAATTTATGGGAAGTGGAGCATTTGCTTCTTCAGATCCGTTATTCCACAGCGACACTATTCATCATGTCGAGTTTGATTTTTATGGAAAAAGAGTTGTGACAGTTTCAAGTGACAAATTGGTATGTATTTGGGACAAGGAAGTACATGGAAATTGGAAAAGAAGTGCTTCTTGGAAGGTTTTTTTGAATAAAATTTTTTAAAATAATTTTGTTTTTTGTTTAATTGTGAAATAAAAATATTATAAAATTTTTAGAAGCACGGTGGTGCTGTTTGGAAAGCTCGTTTTGCTCACCCAGAATTTGGACAAGTACTTGCAACATGTTCATTTGACAATACTATACAAATATTTGACAAAGATGGTGAGTTACGAGAATAATTTTTTGGGGGAAGGTGGAGGGGGATTCCAAATGATCAATTCTTCTGGCAAAAATTGCTTAAAATCTAATTATTTTTCTTCATTTCAAAAAAATCACTTTCTTTTTCAGCCGTGGACGTAATGGATGCTCGCTCTTCAATGAGTGCTTCCGATTTTAGTAATGGATGGGTGTGTCGGACTGTGCTTCGGCAAAGGTATTTTTAAGAAAAAATAAAAGAAAAATTAAAAATATTAAGCACATCCAGCATTACCGACATTCAATTTGCCCCTCATTATTTAGGTCTTCAATTAGTTAGTATTTTTTAATTTTGTTTTCAAATAAAAATTTTACAGGCTGCTTGCACTTCCTCAGGGAGATTAGTAATATATGAAGCGGAGGATATAATGGCTTTGGACAATTGGAATGGTTTAAATTATTTTTGAGAAATATTTAAATTTATTTTTTAAGTTCTCGTCGACAACGAAATTTGTCAACATCGACTTTGTTCTCTCTCATGGAGTAGAAGTCGCTTTGATCCGCCCTATATTGCTCTAGCTTCAGATGATGCCGATGCTCCCGCTGAAGAAAAAGTTTTTCTCTTTAGAGTTGTCAATACTGGGTTTAATTTTTAGTTTCTTTCTTAACTAAAACTTTTAAAAGAATTTTCCCTGCCCGTGTAATTTCTTCCACCAGTTCAACTCCTGTTGAAAAACAACACCAAAAATCCAAAGACTACAAATTTTTATTTGAAGATCCAGTCAGTATGCTTGCATTTGGGCCTTCTTGTGGACTTGGAATACACAAATTAGCAATTGCTGTCGGAACAAGATTATTAATTTACCAATTACAATTAACAATGACTGAAGACCACAATCAGGAAGGATCTACTGGAAGTGCTAGCGAAGCAGCAGAAAATCAATTAGGAGAGAATACAGCAGAACAAACAACAATCCAACAACATTTTGTAATTAAATCTTTGGATGTTTTGGAAGAAGGAAATTCTCAATTAGTTCGATTTGCTTGGAATATTCTTGGTGACATTTTAAGTGCTGTTTATGCTGATGGACTTGTACGGATTTGGAGATGTATTTATATTTTATTTATAGCGCCCAGTAAACGCATTTTTGAGTTTTTGTGATTGCTAAAAGACTAATGTGTCTGTGAGCCTGAAAATCAATCAGCAATCCCAAAAACTCAAAATACGGCCATTTTCATTACCATTAAAGCAATTCTTAAAATAATATCTAAATTCTATTTTAGATACATTTTCAAATCGGTGGTGCTCTGTAAGCACTATTGTTCCACCACCAGAACAAGAAAGAAGTCCAGAAGATGTTTATTATTAACTCAACATCTATTTTTACTTTTAGAATCTATTGTTTTCTTTTCACACCTACCAGCACCAAAAATTTTTATAAAATTTAAATTACCTTATTTTTAATAAATTCGAGTGTATATTTAATTGATTCTTCAAAACCATCCGCAATTGTACAGACTTCCCTTGAGGAAAAAGATCTTTGTTCACGATTAGAGAACCACCAGGCACGGCCTTCTTATTTAAAGGGTGGAATTAATATATTTGAATGAATTAAAACCCCAAACCTTTCTTTTCTTCCTCTTCTTCTTCCTCTCCGTTTAAATTATTTATTGTAAATGGGGCAGAAATAAATTCTAAAATTTAAAAAGAAAATTCAAATAATTTGTTAAAGACAAATTTAAAAATTACCAAATTTTGCACGATTTTTTAAGGCTTTCCTTAATGCACCAGATTTTCTCTGGAAAATTTCTGCACTTTGACGATAGCCGTGAAAACAAAGAATCTGAAATTGAAATTTTATTTGTGTGTTAATGAGGTATAACCCTTAATTGTTTTTGCTCTTCCATTTTTTACAAGATATAAAATTCAGAATTTGCTGAAAATTAAAATTTTTCTGAGATCAAAAATCGTCCTTATTGAAATTTTTGTCTTTGTTGACATTTTGTCCATATTTAGCGTTGTGACATTTTGTCCATATTTAGCGTTGTGACATTCTGTCCATATTTAGCGTTGTGACATTTTGTCCATATTTAATTATAGGCATTTTATCAGTTATAGATTTTGTAATAAAATTTTGTAAAATTTATTTTAGCGTCCCGCGTCATTTCTTGAATCTTCTTGGGTTTTGATTTTATTTCCTTAACTTTGTGTTGAAGATTTCATTATCCTCGTGTTTTCTCAGATTTTTTACAATATAATTTTACCTTCCTTAGTTTTTTAAAATTTCAGTTAATTACATTTACTTTTTTCGTTTGCGAACCAACTAAATAAAATGACTCAGGAGAGCGACAACATTCCAACATTTAAGCTTGTCCTAGTTGGTGACGGCGGTACAGGCAAGACTACTTTTGTTAAGCGTCATTTAACTGGCGAATTTGAGAAGAAATATATTGGTATTTTTTAATGGAACTTTTCAAAATTAATCTTTATTTTTTCTAGCAACTCTTGGTGTTGAGGTGCATCCGTTGACCTTTCACACAACTCGTGGCCAAATCCGTTTCAATGTTTGGGATACTGCTGGGCAAGAAAAGTTTGGAGGACTTCGTGATGGATATTACATCCAGGGTTTGAACTCAAAAAGAAGTAAAATAATTTTGTTATTTCAGGACAATGTGCCATAGTTATGTTCGATGTAACCGCACGTGTTACTTACAAGAATGTTCCGAATTGGCATCGTGACTTGGTCCGGGTTTGTGAGAATATACCAATTGTTTTGGTTGGAAATAAGGTTATTGATTATTTGAAGATTTTTGGAATATTTTTTGTTTAAAGGTTGATGTTAAGGACAGGAAGGTCAAAGCCAAAAGTATCACTTTCCATCGCAAGAAGAATCTTCAGGTTCTTATTTTGTCTTAATGTTTCTAATCTCATTTTATAGTACTACGATATTTCGGCCAAGAGTAACTACAACTTTGAGAAGCCGTTCCTTTACCTCGCAAGGAAGTTGGTTGGCGATCCTAACCTCGACTTTGTTGCTATGCCAGCTCTTGCACCTCCTGAGGTACATATGGATCCGGCTTTGGCTGCACAATACGAACAAGAAGTGAAAGAGGCTGCAAATGCTGAGCTTCCTGATGACGATGAAGACATTTAAGTATAAGGATTGGAATAACATGGGGAAGTAAAAGGTAAAAGTCTTCCACCAAACATTTTCTCTTTAATTTTTATTGAAAGGGTGAAAATTTAAATTTTATTTAACATATTTCAAATCGATTATTTTAACGTTTTAATAATGTTAAGGTTTATTATCTAATCTGGAGAAAACTAATTTTTCAACAATTAAAAATATTCACCCTGAAAATCTCTAAACATCTACACCACACAAACATATGTTGTTTTTACATTTATTGATTTAATGACAATTTGTTTGACTTTATTTAGACTATCTCAATGTTGCCACGATTTTTCTGAATTTAACGTGAAACGATATATAAAACTTGTTACTCTTGTAAATATTTGATATGATGGTCAATTCTTTCCAACAATGGAAAGTCTGCCGTTAAGAAAATAGTAGGAATTTATTTTAAAATCTTTATTAAATTTTCAATTTACAACTAAAAAATAAGCTGAATTTAACGTGAAAATCTAAAACCCCCTTCTAGCTATTCCTGGTCCCATACAAATTAGAAAAATTATGGAAAAAGGTAATAAACTCAAATATTTATAAAGTCTTTTTTTCCTTTCTTCCTGTTCTAATTTTTCTGATTGCAACCTCAACTTCTCGAATGTAGGCATTGGATGCTCTTCTCGGCGCCTTCTTTCTTCAAATTGTAAATGCAATTGTCTCTCTCGTATTTCACGTTCTCTAGCTAAATTACTTCGGTAATTAGAAGCGGCCTCGTGTTGTGCAGCCCAAAAATTTTCTGAAGTGTTTGTCGCTGAACCATGAAACATCCTCTTTTTTCTAAAAATTAAAAAAGTGGGTAATGTCTTGGGTAATAATCGTAAAGGAAAGTTAAGTCGAGATGTTACTCTCACGTCGTTTTCGAAATTATGAAAATTAAATTCCCATATAAAGCAATAATTTCCCTATGTCCACGTACCTTAACGTTTTTAATTGCCTTTACTCATAACAAAATTCAACAATATTAAAAAAGCAAACAAACCTGCTCATGTTTTGAAAATGTTCAAAATCTTTATAGTCAATATCCAAATCACTCCAATCTTTTTCCCATTTTCTTTGCTGTTTTTCACCTGCTTTTGTTCTTTGATGATGCGTAGCTTTAAATATTTTTGTAGGCATTTCGGCAGTTAATGAGTCATAAGCACGTCTTTTTTCTTTTGAACCCAAAATTTCATAAGCTTCAGAAACCTAAAAATTGTTTTAACCTAAAGGTTTTTAGTTAATGAAAAACAAACATTAATTTATACATTCCATTAAGATTAAGACCACTTACCTCGTGAAAATATTTGGAAGCCTTGTCCTTGTTTTCAGGATTCATGTCTGGATGATACTTCTAAAAATTAAAAGATTTAGATACAAGCTTAATTTGTAAATAATTTACGGATTAAATTATTTCCAAGTCTCGAACTCGAAAAACTCAAAATATCAGAAAATCGCCCCAAACTTTTAATGTTATTTTCGGAATATTCAAAAAAACCTTTGAAAGTTTATAAAACGCTTCTTTAATTTCTTCAATTGAAGAACTTCTTGGCACCCCAAGAACTTTATAATAATCCTTCCGAGTTTCAGGAGCCGTAGAAAAAAATACTGTTGACGTAAAATGTGAAGGGAAATTGTTTTTTGAAGATAAATTTGTGACGAATAAATGACATAAACCAAATTTATTTGTATTTATTGCAAAATTCATTTTTTAATTAAAAACCCTTAAATATTTTAATGTAAAAATGTGTTAAAGGATGGATTTTCAGTAAAAAATTAGAATAAAAATCTCGAAAATTTATTTTAAAATTTCGAATAAATTTATCAAAATAGTGACGAGAAATAAGTTAGTAAACAAAAATGATTCAAATAAAAAACAAAAATTTATTTTCGATGTTGCTAGAAAATATTGAAAGAATTTTTTATCTTTTAAAATAAAAATATATAATTTTTGTTATCCAATTGGGGAAATTTGCTAATCCTAAGACTTTCACAAAAACTCTTTCAAACCAAAATTCTTTTCTCTTTTTTATTTAAATTTAATCATTCCAAAACATAAACATCAATACAATCATCATCTTCCAAATCAAGAGTTTCTGCCGTTTCATTGTCACCAACTCTAACAGAATCAAATATAAATTGAACTTTATCCAAGGGAATACCATTCTCTTGACAAAATATTTCTTTAAGTCGGGCAAATTTGGCAGTCTAAAAATTTAAAAAATATTTAAAAGAAAATTCAAAAAACCTTCAAAATTTTTGCAGCAATCGGCCTTTTCCCTTTTTGTTGATATTTAATTCGAATAGTTTTTACATCTTCCATTAAATTTAAAGGAACAACGTCTTTATGTTCAAAAGCATCTAATTCAAAACTTTCATCCGAAGTAATTCCCAAAGTCCGTGGAGTGTCCTCTAAAGCACATTGTTTTAATTGTTTTGTAATTAACACAATTCGTTTTGGATCACCATTTACACGTTCAGCATAGTCTTCAATTAAATTTTTAATTGGATCATCCTGAAATTTTTTTGAGAAAATTATTAGGTAATTAATTAATTTATTTAATATTTTGTAGTTGGAATTAGTTAAAAGTCATAAAATATTTCTCGGAAATTAGTTACATTTTTAAAAAAATTTAAAAACTTTTGGCCCTAAAATAAAGACTATTAAATTAATTTCAATTTACTGTCATGAAAAACAAACAATTTTCATCATAATAGAGTTTTTCTAAAATTTCTCGAAATTTTTTGTAAAAGGTTTAAAAAATTGAAAAAATTAACCAAGTCTTGAATAAACATTCGTTTGCCACCATTAGAATGAATAGTAATTGTACAGGTACTTTTAGGTGAAGAAATTATATTTTTAGATTTTTGAGCCTTATAATTTTTGTTTGAACAATTATTTGTCGAAGAAGATCCAAAAGGTGTAAGATCGATAACTTCAATGGAATTTGAACAAGAAGGAGCTAAAAATAAATTTAAAAAATAATTAAAAGTTTTAAAATTACAATTTAATTCAATAACTGAAGAAATAGAATTGTTAGTACAAAAATTTGCTGAAGAGTCAAAGTCATCGACACATACAATTTCTTCGCCTGTAAATATAAAAATTGAAAAAAAATTTTGGAGTTTGGATCCAACAAAATTAAATTCTTCCCCCCAAAACTCGAAAAACTTTTTGTTCAAGATTTTAAAAAATTAAATACATGAAATGATGGAATCAGAAGGGGCATTTTTTCTTGTAAATTTATTTGTGGAAGCTGTAATTGGGTGTCGACGTTTTTTCTGACAATGAGCGGCCTTTAATTTTATTTTGTCAAAATTGTCGTAAAAATCATCATCACTACTCGAATCGCTACCCAAAGAAATAACTTCTGGCATTCCAACTTCTGAAAAATAAATTTATAGAAAGTAAAAAAAATAAAAAATTTTTAGGAAAATTACAAAAGTGAAAAAAAATAAAGTTTAGGAATTAGAGACCGGCAAAATCGCATTTCCGGGATCCCGAGTCGGGATTTTTTTTCTTGACCGATGCCGGGACGGGATCCCGAGGGAGAAATCCCGAAAAAATCCCGAATTTCAAAAATCCCGAAAAAAATTATCCGGGATCCCGCCCGGGATTCGGGATTTTTTTCAAAATAAAAAATTTAAACTTTTTATGAATAAAGCGCATCAAAATACTGCAATTTATATGTAAATAATATTAAATTTGTAAAAATATCAATAATTTTTTATAATTGGATTGTGCTCCTCCTTTAATTCCCTCTATAATGGATTTAGAGGGATATCGGTGGATTAATCACTAGGGCCCTTGATAATATCCCACTATGTATTAATATTCCTTCACTTTACTCCAATAATAACTCAAAACGTATCCGTTTTCAGCGCCGCAGGCGAAAATTTTTAAAATTTTGGAGTTCCTTAGCCAGATTTCTTCCTTTTTCAGCGCCGCAGGCGAAAATATTGAGAATTTTTAGAGGACAAGAAGCCATATTCTTCTTTTTTCAGCGCCGCAGGCGAAAATTTTGAAAATTATAAAAATCCCGAAAATTATAAAAAAATGTCCGGGATCCCGAGTCGGGATTTTATTTTTTAACCGATGCCGGGACGGTATCCCGAGGGAGTAATCCCGAAAAAATCCCGGATCCCGAATGATCCCGAAAATCAAAAAAATCCGGGATTTCGGGATCGGGATCCCGGAAAATCCCGTCGGGATCCCGTCCCGCGCCGGTCTCTATTAGGAATTTTGGAAATGGCGGAATGCCAAGAAAAATTATTTAACGTAAATTTAAAAACCATCAACTAAATAAATGCTGTTTATTGTAGAAACAGAACCTTAAAGTTTACGTTTTTAGAACATTTAGTTTTAATCTTTGAACGATTAAAAATATTTCTTTTTTCATCTTCATATGATTTTGTAATTTTTCAGTTAAAATTTTTAATTTTAGCCGTCGTCGTTAAATTGTTTCCAATTTACATTTTAAATTAAAAAATTAATAATGGGAAAGAAGCGTCTTGAACAAGTAAGTAAAGCTTTTTAAATTATTTTATAAAACTTTTTATATTTAGAATGGAGGTAAAACTTTGGAAACTAGTATGGAAATTGATGAGAAAAGTGATTATATTTTAAAGTCCTCGAATGAGGAGCCTAAAACACATTCAGAGGATTGGCCTTTGCTTTTAAAGGTTTTTATTTTTTAAAGTTTCTTTTTTTAAATTTACCTAAATGAGTCAAATTGAGTGGAGTTTATCACTCCTTTTTATGTTCTAGAATTAATTTAACGCGTTGAAATTTAATAAAGGCGTTCTTGTTTATTTCAATTTTTAAACTTTCAGAATTTCGATAAATTGAATATTCGAACGGCACATTATACTCCTCTAGTTGAGGGTTGTTCTCCACTTAAACGTGATATTCGAAATTATGTTTCTGCTGGTTATTTTAATTTGGATAAACCTTGCAATCCATCAAGTCACGAAGTTGTTGCTTGGGTTAAACGAATTCTTCGTGTTCAAAAGACTGGACATAGTGGGACATTAGATCCAAAGGTTTGTAAATTATTTCATTGTCTTTCATTTTTTGCTCTTCCTTGATTTTGGATGTTTATTTTTATCCTATCAATTTAAATTGTTATCAGAAATATTTTTTTAGGTTTCTGGAGTTCTTGTCGTCTGTATTGATCGCACAACTCGTTTAGCTAAATCACAACAGAATGCTGGAAAGGAATATGTTGCTATCTTTAAATTACATAATGCAGTTGAATCTGAGAAACAAATACGACAAGCTCTGGATAATGTAAATTATTTAAATTTTATAAAATTTATAATTAATTCCGTTAAAAACCAATATTTTAAAAAATCAAAAAAAAATTCTTTTTTTAGTTGACTGGAGCTCTTTTTCAACGTCCACCTCTTATTTCTGCAGTTAAACGTCAATTACGTATTCGAACAATTTATGAATGCAAATTAATTGAATATAATCCTTCACAACAAATGGGTATTTATTGGATGAGTTGTGAGGCTGGAACTTATGTACGAACGCATATTGTTCATTTGGGTCTTATGCTTGGAGGTTTTTTTTCTAAATTTAAAATTTGGGGAAATTCTTTTGACAATTTTTTAAACTTCTTTTAGGTAGATTATATTAAATTCTATTTTTAACTTAATTTTCAGTTGGGGCACAAATGCAAGAATTAAGACGTGTTCGTTCTGGAGTAACATCAGAAAACGATCATATTATAACACTTCATGACATTTTGGATGCCCAATATATGTATGATAACCAAAAAGATGAAAAATATTTGAGAAGAATTATTCGTCCATTAGAAGCACTTCTTGTTCAACATAAAAGAATTGTTGTTAAGGATAGTTCGGTTTGTTTGGAGTTAAAAAATATTTTTTATTAAATTTATTTAAAGGTAAATGCAATCTGTTATGGAGCTAAAATTTTACTTCCGGGCGTTCTTCGCTTTGAAAATGGGATTGAATTAAATGAAGAAATTGTTATTGTTAGCACAAAAGGAGAGGCCGTTTGTATAGGTAAAATGTTTTAAATAAATAATTTTAAAAATTTCATTTTTATAGCAATTGCTTTGATGACTACCTCAACAATTTCGGTTACCGATCACGGTGTTGTGGCAAAAATTAAACGAGTTATAATGGAAAGAGACACATACGCTGTAAATTTACATTAAAAATAAAATTTAAAAAATTAATTTTTTAAGCGTAAATGGGGTCTAGGTCCAATTGCTTCCAAAAAGAAAATGGGTCTTGTTCAGAAAGCAACGGAAGGAGGAGGCGGTGAATCTTCTTCAATTGCAAAACCTACTCCACAAGCTGAAATAAAGGAAGAAGTTCAGAGTCCAAAAAAGAAAATTGTTGAAATGGAAGTTGATAAAAACGTTAAAAAAGAAGAATTGGGGAAAAAGAGAAAAATGGAAGAATCCTCAACATCGTCAGAAGAGGAGGAAGATGATGAAGAAGAAGAGGATGATGATGAAGACGATGAAGAATCATAAATGGACATGTCACTTATTGTTAGTTTATTTTGATGAGAAAGTCTCTAATAAGGTATTTAGAGGGGGGGTTTATTTTTCCCAGTGAAAATTGAAGGGATTTTTTGTTCAAAATTCATGTTTTTATGAAACTGAGTTGGGGAAAGAAATTAAAAAATCATTAAATTCAAAAATAGACTAGATTTTATTTTTGAGTTAATTTTTAAAAAAATATTCAATTTAGAAAGTAATAATATCTCTTAGAGACTGCAAAATTTTTATTTCTCTCTTCAATTTGTTTGATCTTCATTTTTGCTATTTTGTTGTTCCTCTATATTTTTATATTGTTGAAGTTAAATAATATAAATCTCTAGTTTGTTTTTTCGAATTTTTTTTATATTCCATAAGCATTAGCCCTGTTTAATTAAAAAAATTTCTAGTTCTGTAATGGAATCTTATAAACCGGAATTTTGATACCAAAGCTTGAAATACTAAATAGAAGCCCTTGAAATACCAAACTGCTACATGATGCCCATGATTCACTATGGCCGTCATTCATTCCCGTCATGCCAAAAACTATTTCAACGGAAAAACTTTTTACACCGTTCTTGTAACAAGTTTCCCAGCGTTAGAACAACATCTGTCATTTTTCGTATTTCACAGTTTGGTATTTCAATCGCTTTTGGTAATAACGTTCGGTTTTTTATCCTTATTTTCAAATACTTTCTCCTCACATATTTGCATCGGCCAGCATATCCTCTAACAACCGAATACGTCGTTCGTGTTGTCTAAGCACCGATTTAATTTTTTCTAATTCTTCCGAATTTACCTAAAAAATATTTTTTAAATTAAAAAAACAATATTTAACCGCTGCTGAAGATGAATTACTTCCTCTTCTAGAAATACTTGGAGTAACAGAAGTTGTGCTTGGAGTAGTTGTACTTGTACCTCCACTATTATCTACTATATGCATTTGTTGTTCTCTTTTAATTCTATCTAATTCTGCAGCTGCCCGTTTTTGTCCAGCAGTCAAAGCACCCCCGCCGGCGGGTGGCTCTCTTGATTTTAATTGAACTTGTTGTTTTGGATGTGTTGGATTTGGAGGAGGTGAAGGCTCTCTTGCTTGTCGAACAATTCCTGTATCTTTGTGTGCCATTGGTTGTTGTTGAGGTGGAATTTGACGTTGTTGGGGAGGATGGTTATTTTGTTGTGGAGAAGATTCTTGACTTAAATTAGTTCAAAAAATCAGAATTTAAAAACAAAACTTACACAGGCATTTGAGCCAAAATATTTGCCTTCTTTGCCACCTGCACTTTTGGCTTTACAGATGCTGCCTCAGGATTTACAGGCATTAAATTTGGTGGGGCATTTTTCCCTTCAGCAAATTGTTCTGCGGTTAGAGCGGGGACCATACTTCGAGTATCCGGATATAAATCACTCTTTTTTAAGAAAATTTGTTTTTTTTAATTCTTTTATTAAATAATAAAATACCTGCCAAAGATCAGATTTTCTTGGGACAAAAAATTGTAATACATCAATTACACCTTTTGTTGTTATTTTGTAAATACTGTAGAATGAGAGAAAATTTATAGGTATTTTGTGGTTATTTTTATTAAAGAGATTTTTATTTTAAGTAAACTAACTAATATTTTTTAACTTCCAAATAAGTATGCTGAATCCGAAAAAAAATTATATCCAAAGGTTTTCTATATTCTTGTCCCCAAAAATAAACTATAATTTCCTACCGATTAATTTCATTTTCATTAGAATTAACTCCTCTTTTAGGCATAAATCCAAACCCTCTTTGAGGTTCAGATGTTGTGTGAGTATTTATATAATGCATATAAGGGGCATCATCATTAATTTCATAATAACGAATTGCACAATCACCTTTCCCAACTAAATAACATAAACCAGAATCTTCATCGTATAAAGGAAAAAGTACTCCATTTGAGGTGTCTAATCTATTAAATAAATGATTAAAAAGAAATATGTATTAGAGATCGAGATTTTTGAAAAGCATGGCATGTTCCTGGGTTCCGGGTTTGATTTATTGACCTGGGTCTGTAATCCAGGAAAAACCCAGGAAGGTCAAAAAATGCCTGGGCCTGGACTCTGGTTACAGGAAAAACAAAGGCTTTGGTCCAGACCCAGCTCGATCTCTGATATCTCTCTCTAGTCACCCCTATAATTTAAATTATTTTAATTTTTCCCCAATAAATCTAACCTTCTCTAACTAATTTATTTATATTTTTAATTTTTCAATTACTCTTCTTGAAGTAAAGGTTCCAAAGTATTTGAATCCCTTAAAGCATATATTCTTTCAGAACGTTTACTAAATCCAGTAGTTACAATTCTTCCATCTTTAGTAAATATTGCTCTTTGGGGCTTTACACCATCATGTCCAATTCCAGATACGAGAACAGAACCTTTAAATTATTAAATATTTTTTTTAAATTAAAAAGTTTTTACCTGTATGTGAATCCAAAACTCGTATTTGTTTGTCTTTACAAGTTGTTACAAATCTATAGAGAAGAAATGAGAGAGATTTTAAATATTTTTTTAATTATTTACCTACTCCCATCATAATTAAAAGCAACACTCCATATTTGGTCTGGATGTCCAGCAATTTCAATTAAAGCTTCCCCTGTCCCAACATTCCAGAGAAGTAATTTATTTTCTCCTCCAGCAGTTAATAAAATACTTAATTAAAAGTTTGTAATTAATTTATTATAATAATTTATGTAAAATCCAAAAATCAGAGGTTGGTATAATACGATTATAAGACTGAACTATATCCTAAACAAATAATATATTTTAAATTTACTCAATCAAAATACTCCATTCAAAAACAATCCAAGTTTTTCCTAAACAAAAAAATATTTTAAATTTCATTTCATACTTTGCAGCTGTTGGATGCCAAGCCAAAGTATTAACTCTTTTTTGGTGTCCACATAATTCAACTACAGGTTCACTTAAAGTTCTTAACAACCCTAATTCTGGTATCATCCAAACTTTTGCTGTTGTATCTTCTGAACAACTAGCAATTACATGGTCATTAAATGGAGACCATTGAACTTCTAAACAAGCTGCTCTGTGGGCATCGACAAACGGGGTATCTTTGTCTATACGACCAGCCTTTTAAAGGAAAAATTAAAATGAGAGTTATCATAAAATAAAATATTTTTTAATAAAAGTTCTAAAAAATTTAGCCTTTGAACTTGAAGATTCTATTAGTCCCTAAATTTAATTTCCTTAAAATCACCTTATTTATTGGAAGTACAACAAACGGCCCTCCAGCTCCTTTCACAATAACTGCCTTAAATAAATTTAATAATTAAATTTAAATGTTAACAATAAACAGACAATAAATTTAGGATTAACTGCACAAAATTGTGAATCCCAAGAAACTTCTGTTATTCGAACATCTTGAATACATTGTTCTTGTTTGATTGCTTTACAAAAAACCTTAAGAGAGAGAATACAGTAATAGAGGAGGAAATGCAGTTTATGTTTATGTAAAATTATGTGTGGATAGGGTTGTCGGTTCTTGGAAAATTTTCGGATATCCGGAACCGAAATCCTAACCGAAAAATCATCGGTTCTTCGGTTCGGTCCAGAACCGACAACTCTAGTGTGGATATAAACTTGTAAAAATTAGTAAAACATAAAATGAGTAAATTAATTGAGATATTAGAAATTAGAATGTCAAAAAGAATTCTTTAATTGTTTTGGATTAAAAATTAGGGTAATTCTTACATGTCGAAATTTTGATTGACGAACAATGCTACTCATTTATCCAAAAAATTATTTGAATATTAATTAAATTAAAATTTAATTTTTTAAGTCTATCAATATACTTTTAGCTGAGAATAAATTTTTGAGCATGAAAAGTTTTTTTAAAATAAGCTTTAAAAATTTTTGTTGTCGATTAAATTTTTATTTCTTAATCCCGCCTGTTCTTTCCGTTCATCTTTTTACGTTGAATGGCAAGAAGAAAGAAAAGAAATTTAAAGAATAAAAAAGATATATTTTATTGGCAAATTCTTTTGAATGAGTTAAAACAGAAAAATTATTTTCTCTAACCTAACAAAAATATTTTTTAAAGTTAAATCCGATTGATTGAACAGATCGCAAGAATTTTAAAAGAAAAAAAGAGAGGAAGAAAATCCCTTTTATTTATTTACTATATAGTTAATAACTAAAGAAACAAACAAGGCTTAACTAAACTCTTCAACTCATTAAATGATGGGAGGGAAAGGTGAAGGTAGAGAGGAAAGGGGGGAGGATATTGTTTGGATGTCTAACAGATTGAAATAATTTATAAAAAGTCCCCAAAGTAAAAAAATTTTTCTAAACAGCTAAATATTTAAAAAGACAGTTAGCTTAGGAAAACTGCTACAAAATAATAAAAGAGACTTGATTGAGGGTCGAAATTGATATCAAGAAAAATCAGACCGATTTCTAATATTTTTGAAAATGGTCTAATTCGACTAAACTCTTCTTTAATTTAGAAATTTTAACTTTTTTTAAATGATAAACAATTGAGGATATTTTTACAATCGTTTTTGGCTGCCGTTTAAGTATTTTTATTATTTTTTAAAATTTAAAAACAAAAAATCCTCTTCCTTTTGAATAAATTTTTATTTATTTTTAAATCAAAAAAGGTTTTAAAAATTAAATTATAACAATTTTTTATTACCAATTTTTCTTCTCCTTTTTTCTTCCAATTCATCTTCTTCAAATTTTTGTTTATTTAAAGGATGTAATTTTGAATAAATAGATCCAATAATTTCACGTAAATTTCCAAGTTGTCCATTTTGTGCACTAATTGCATGGACAGATTTAAAATTAATTGGAAATTTTGGTTTAATATCTTGAGGAAGGGCTTTTGTCCAATTTGAAGTATTATAAGCTGGGCCAATAAAATGTTCAATTAATTGTTGGGAAATCTAGAAAAAAATTATTTAGAGAATTTTATTAAATTCTAAAATAAATTATTTGAGAAAATAAATATTTAGATAAATATAAAAAATTTCTAAAGCTCCTAATAATCTTCTAGCTACAACTGCTACTATAATTAGGGGTGTTCATGATCAGTTAATTTTTGCCTGTGGTGGCTCATATGGAGAATAAAAAGAGCATGAGTCGCCACAGGCAAAGAGTAACAGGCCCGAACAACCCCACTGTTACAAAAATAATTCGCTCAAGAATTTTCAAAAAAAATTCTAAATTCAAAATATATCAAAATAAAATAATTTATTTTTTACTAACCTCTTCCCCGTTTTCAACATCAATTTTGTTTAAAAGCAAAACAATTGGTTTACGTATCATTTTTCGGTCATATTCCTCCATTTCTCGATTTAATAAAGCAATTGTTTCAATTGGAGTTCTGAAAACAAAATTAAAAAATATAAATATTTATTTACATTAATTTATCATCTAATTCAAGTCTAAATCCATGAACATCCACAACCATCAAAATTATTTCAGAATATTCCAAATGTTTTAAACAGCTTAATCCGTTATATAAATTTTGTGAAGCTCCTTTAACAATTCCAGGTAAATCAGCAATTGAAAGAGAAACGTGAAATGGTTTAACAGAATGTTTTTGAGTATTTTCGAGAGGCTGTAAAATTCTCAATTCTTTGGAAGAATTCTAAAAAAATATTTGTTTTAATTTATTTTAATAAAAAAACCTTTTCTTCTCTTCTTTCTAAACTTGTTTGTTCATAATCAAGAAAACAAACTTGTGGTTTTTCTGTTGTAAATGGATAAGAAGCTATTTCAATATTAGGTCCACTTGGTATTAAAGATTTTAATAATGTTGATTTTCCAGCATTTGGATAGCCAATTAAACCAATATTTGGACGTAATTTGACATGAATACTTACATCTAAATGTTCACCAATTTTACCTCTAAATAAAAAATTATGCAGTTAGAATTAAAGTGTTTAATGGGTATTTTCTTTTAATTAAATAACCTGTAATCATTATCTGCACAGCCACCCTTTCCCCCTCTCGCCAATAAATATCTTTGTTTATTCCCTGAGCATCGAGCCAAAAGTTTATTGTGTTCTTGATTAATAATTTCCACACCTAACGGCACATCAACAACCAAAAATTATTTTTTATTTATTTAAAATTATTTTCTTTAAAAAACAAACAGAATCTTTCCCATTTTTCCCAATTAATTTTGTTTGTTTCGAATGTTGGCCATGTTCAGCTTTTAATTCTGGACGTTCCTCAAATTGTTCACAAAATTCCTCAAAAGTAATTTTATCATTTGCTCTAACAAAAACAGATCCCCCATTTCCACCAATTCCATTATATCTTTTGAAAAAGAGAAGATTAAAAAATAATTTAAAGAAAAAACCTTAAAATCCCATTTCCTCCAGTCCCAGAATGAACAGAAAGTTTTATAAAATCCTTTGTAAGTATATAATCATTAGCTTTTAGCGCACCTCGTATCAATAAAAATAAAGAAAATTTCATTTAAATTTTAGAATTTAGGTAGTTTAATTTGAAAAGTAATATTTTTTGACCATTATTGCTTTTGACCGTTTTATAACTTTTCCCGCTGAAAACCCTTTTGTCGTTCTTTATTTTTGCAAATTTTAATTTTTTTGGTTTTTATTAAATTAATTTTTTTAATTTAACAAATCGGTTGCAAATGGAAGATTCTGAAAACGACAAAGTCTGTAATAATGACGAAAGTGAAGATGAGGAAATGGATATACCTGCAGAAGACGTCAAGGAAATGGAGAAAATGAATTTTGATTTTGAGGCATTTCCGCCCTCTGAAGAAGATATTGAAGGATTAGAAAATTTACTCGCACAGGTAAATTAAAATTTTTTAAAATTTTCCCAATTTTTTAAATAAATTATTGTTTAAGATATTTTTACGTGCTGAAATTAATCGGAAAGAATTGGCTGATTCAATAATTAAAATAAGCCCGTTTGGTTGTATTTATAAACCAGCAGAAGAATGCGAGGATGATGAGTCTCCATCCATAGTTTGTGGTGTTCTATCAATTGTTGGATTGACTGGCACAGAGGTTTAATATTTTTATGAGGGCCAATTTATGTTTCAATTTTCTTTAGAAACATTTTGCTGATGTTTCCAACTTTGTTTTACAACGAGCAAAGAAATTCGCAACTGGAAGTGTTTTTAAACAATTTGAAAAATTTTTGCGGGGAACTGATGAAGGCAGTGGAGATCCACAATTAAAAGCTGGATTTTTGATTAATGAACGTTTGTTACAATTTCCAGTTCAGATTTCAGCTCCGGCATTTGCTTCACTTTAGTCAGTATTATTTATCCTGTTAATTCTTTTTTTTTCTATTTAAGCAATGACTACAATTCTCTACCTAAAAAGGAACGTTATCAAAATTTGTTGATTATTATAAAACTCAGAATTAATAAAGAGGGCTCATCAAAAGACAGGTATTACATTTAATCTAGAAATTTTAATAATTTTTTTAGTGAACATCAAAGTTCTGAAGGGATTCAATCTCAGAACAAGAAGCTTGGAAAGGCTGAACGTCGTAGATTAGCTGCCAACACTTGTGATATAATTTTTGATAATCCTGAAGAGGAATTGCTTTTTACGGTAATTAATTATTTTTTATAATTAATGATATGAGATAACTTGAACATAGATTTCTGAATTTGGAAATTAAGAGGAATTTTTGTCGAATAATTTTGATAATTCTGGTTTTTCTATCTTCATGTTATAATAGTCGGCCCAAATTATTTTCAAAAAAAAAACTTTTTAAGTCATTCTTTTTTCATTTTATAAATTTCAATTTAGATGCAACAACATTTCCCTTATTTCCAATATCCTGTTGAATCTGAAGTAGAAAGTACATCACGTTTTGGTTGTTTTCGACGGAATGGACAAGTGTATAGGCCTTATCGTCGAGCTTGTTTACTTTCTGAAGAACAATTTTTACAGTTTGTTCAGCTAGTATTAAATTCTTCGTTTTAATTTTATTAAAAAAAATTTTATTTACTTTGAGTATATAAATAAAATTTGTTTTTTTTTTGGATTTTTATTTTTTATAAATTTTATTTTTCTTTCCTGTTTGGGAAAGTACATATTATTTTAAGCAAGAAACGTTTTAACTAGACATTGGGGTTTGTTTTGTTCACATTAATAACCTTATTTCTAGCCTTAACTAAATTGTGAAATTTTATCGTATATGAATCAAAATTCCCTCACGGGCATTGAGGGACTTGGTTCTGGACAACAACACGAAACTTCTGTTCATCATTCATTGGTAAATCATCAGCAGCAAACAGCGCATTTAATTTCAAGTGGTCATCATCAGGTATTTTTTTCTAAAAATTTGCTGGTTCGGAGGAAATTCAATATAGCTTATCATTGTGTTGCCATAGGTTTATTCCGTTTGTAAATGTTAGCCAAATTTAGGACTGAACCAAAATTTAGGTAGTGATAACTAACAAGAGAAACGTTTGAAGCAAGACAATTTTTAGAGTTGATTTTAGTTTCGATATTTCGCATTTTCAATTTTACAAAGAATTTCTTATCTTTAGCAGCATCACCATACAACTTTTGTGCCACCTCATTCAATTTCTGGTGTTTATTTAAATCAAGCTTCTACTACTATGGCACAACAAAATTCTGAGCAACATCCTGAAGGAATTTATTTTAATGGAGGACAACCACGAATTACAACATCCACGCCTGTTGGGGGAAATGCGATTCCAATCCAGCAAACTATGAGGAATAAAGTATTTTTAGAAAATTAGTTTTTAATTTTTTGTATTGCTTTTTAGAAACTTCAAGTTGACGATGCACTTTCATATTTAGGTTTTAGGGTTTTTCTTAACTTTTTCAATTTTATTTTTAGAACGTGTTCGTCAGCAATTTGAACAAACCCCTGTTAAGTATAATGAGTTCTTGGAGGTTATGAAAGAATTTAAATCTCATACGTTAGTTGACTTTTAATTTAATTAAAAAATAAGATAATTAAAGGATTGACACACATGGGGTTATTCTTCGTGTTACTAAGCTTTTCCGATTCCATCCTGACTTAATTGATGGCTTCAATACTTTTTTGCCGCCAGGATTTGAGGTGCATGTTAGTGGAGATTTTACACAAATTAGAGAACCTAATGGAACTAACAAGCTGATTAATAATGGTTATTTTTACTACTTTAAAGTTTTTAATTGTTTTTAGCGATTGGCCAAGTCATAGAAGTTGGTTCTGCTTCTGCCGGGGCACCTTTTATTCAGCAAATAAATGCAATTCCGTTAGTTGTTTTTTTTATTGTTTTCTACTTACTTTCTCATACATTTACTTAATTTTCAATTTCCTACAGCAATTCTCTTATTTAAACTTTTTCCAGTAGTTCACTTACAAATTAGTTGCTTGATTATTTTTTAGTTCATTTTTATTTAAATTTGCATTATTTTAAGGTCCGAGCATCATTCTCAAGTCCCTATTGTACCAATAAATCGTATACCTGCTTCTATTGTCGTTCGTCATCAGCAAAGTCCGGGCGGTTTATCTGCAGTTTCCTCTCCAACTTTTGAAAGAGTTTCATCACCACAACATCAGATGGTTATTGGAAATGTTGCTAATGCTGCTAAAATTGTACAGCAACAATTTCAGGTTTATTTAATTTATTTTAAAACATTCAATTGAAATATATTTAAAGGGTCAACCTGTCCATAACTCCAATATTTCTACTGGAGGATCTCAACAGGTTGGGGCATCTTTAATAAGCCCAACAACAGCAGCACAACAATTACAAAGTATTAGTGAACATCAGAATGCTTTGAATGTTACTCATGAATCTCGGCAACAGCAACACACCCAATCTCAACAACTATCTGTAAATGGTCAACAACCCATTCATTTTGACCAAGCATTGGGTTATTTAAATAAAATTAAGGTTTCCTTCAATATTAAGACTATTTAAGGAAATTTATTTTTCTAGGAACGTTTTGCTAATAGGTCAGAAGTTTATCATCAATTTTTGGCCATTTTGAGTAATTATCAACGTGCAGATGGGCCTCAGGTAGTTTTTATTTTATAGAATTTCTATTGGGATTTTTAGCGTTTAACAGAGTCGGGTGTTTACCAAGAAGTTGCAAAACTTTTCCATAACGAAGAAGACTTGATGAGAGATTTTAAATCTTTTCTGCCTGATGCTAGTATCGAATTTCCCGTTGATCAACAAGTTCAACTAGACCACCAACTACCAATAACTGAGCAGCAGCAGCGTTCTTTGCAGCAAAATGATGTTGAATATGATGAAAATTTTGTCCAAGAAGGATTTGTTGATTTTGTTCAGCTTGAACAAAACAATTCAAACAATAATTTAGCCGACTCTAATTTGACAACCAATGCAACTAAAAAACGTTCGAATACAACTGCACCTTCTGAATATTTGGCACAAAAGGTTTTGGATTTTTCTGTAAATAATATATATTTTTTAGAAATTGAAAACTCAAAATAAAATTGTCTACGAAACATCGGTAAACAAAATACTTGAAGAAATCCCACTTCAAGAATTTGTCTTTTTTGAAAAGGTTTTTTGCATTTATTTTCTATTTTCTTTATCTTGCCTGTAGGTACATGATGCACTTCAAAGCGAACAAATCTTCCAAAATTTTCTCCATCATCTAGCACTTTATACAAAATCTATAGTTTCTAAAGGAGAATTACTTGATTTGGTTACACCTTTTCTTTCGTAAATTTGTTTAATTTTGTATTAAATATTAATTTCGTATCAGTTCTCATCCTGAGCTTTTGAAGCAATTCAAAGATATACTCAGTGGTAAAAGCGGCATAGCTTGCCAACCAAACAAACAGCTTGCAGTTGAAGATCGTTTACCTTCTGAATCTGCTTATCAAATTGGTGGGTACTTTTAAAATTTAAAAATATAGATGATATGTTATTTGATTTTTTATTCAATAAAAATTTTAAAGATTTTACTCATACAAAACAACTTGGTGTCAGTTATCGTTGTATGCCTGCGGATTATGAATACCCCATCTGTTCTGGTCGAACTGAATTATGCAAAGAAGTATTGAATGATCGTTGGGTTTGCTATCCTACATGGTCAAGTGAAGATACCTCATCTGTAACTTTAAGAAAGTCAATTTATGAAGAAGTTATGTGCCGAACTGAGGATGAACGCTTTGAAGTAATATTTTCAATTTAATTTTAATCAACCAATCTTTAAGGTTGATATTCTTATTGAAACAAATTCAACGGCAATTGACGCATTACAATATGCATTTCGTCGTGTTGAAACAATGAGTAATGAAGAAGCAAAGAAGTGGATGGTTGCTAATGAAAAACGTTTGGGATGTTCTTATACTGTTATTTCTAGAGCTATTAAGAAATTATATGGGTTAATAAAATTCTAATAAATAAGTAAAATTATTTAAATATTTTTAGCGAATATGCCAATAAAATATTAACAGCGTTACGTGAAAAGCCACTTGTTGCCTTACAGCAAGTCTTAAGTAGAATGAAAGAAAAGGATATAGAATGGCAAGGTGTTCGAGATGAATATAATGTTATATGGCGTGATCAGGTTGAAAAGAATTACTTGAAAAGTTTGGACCATCAAGCACTTACATTTAAAGCTAATGATGTTAAAAATATTAGAAGTCGTGGTATTATAAATCAATTAGAAAGTGCTTATGACGAGGTTAAAAGAAAATTATAGGATTTTAATTTAAAATTTTAAAAATTTAAGAGACGTGAAAAACTCGAAGAAGGCCGTCAGGTTGAATGGGGTCCACATTTATGTATTAAATATTCAGCGGATCGCCAAATTTTTCATGATGCAAATGAACTTTTACTTCATTATGTTAAAAGACATTTGAATTCGCGTGAAAAGAAAGGTTTCTATAAATTGAGAGAACTTTAAAAGTTTTATTTTTAACGTTTAAGGCATTGAATCGCTTCTTTTATCAATTATTCCTCGTGTTTTCTTGCTTCAAGCAAAATGGGATGATCAACAATTTGGAGTGTCTTCCTCACTGTTAGAGAAGACGGCTGCTTCAACACCGAGGGATGGGGAATTGGAAGGTAAAATGAGTAATAAATTAGAGTATCTTTTGAATATTAAACATCAAAATTTTAATAAATAAAAGATGATTTCTTAGTCCTTAGCGACATTCTGTTTTAATAGTTAAAATTATATATAATTTAAGCAGATTCCGACAAGGATGATAAATTTGGCAGAGGAACTGTGTCAAATATTATTTCTAATAATGAACCTCAAGAATCACTTTTGAAAGACAGAAATGAAGATATTTCTCAACATGATGAGGTTTGATGACGTCTAATAATTTTTCTTATTTTCTTTAGCAACAACAAGAACTCTTATATATTCAATTCTTTGGTACAAATTCTTGGATTTTATTTATTCGCCTCCATGCAATTTTATGTGATCGTCTTGCTACCATTAAAAAATGCACTGAAGAATTAGTAGAAGAATATGACGAAGAAATTAAATTTCGGGAAAAACAAAGACGTGTTTACAAAAAATATGGGGATAGTGAAGAATCTCATTTATTAAATGCTGTAGATGTTCATAAAGGATTGAGAGAATTAAAGAAACCATTGCAAAATCCAGAGAATTTTTATCAAATAATGTTACAGGAAATGAAGAATTTGCTTGATGGGAGTGTAGATGCAGCAAGTTTTGAGGATACTTTAAGGTGATTCAAATAGGGGAATTTATTTTATACATTTAATAAATAGTTAACCTTTGATATTAATTTTAAGTGGAGGAAGATATGTAGAGACTAAACATAACCCTTAAATTTATAATGAAATGACTTGTCCTATTTTGTTAATTTTTAGAAGTATGTTTGACACTCGTGCTTATATTCTCTTCACAATGGATAAATTGGTTAGTACAATAACAAATCATCTCAAAAGTTACATGTCTGACAACATTAATTTGAAATGTATTGAACTCTTTGAAAATTACTTTAGAAAAAGATTGGAGGGTGCTGAACATGGGGAATGGGCACAGAGAGTTGGTTCAGAATATGAAGCTTTAGCCGAAAAAGTGAATTAATTAAAGTTCTTTTTTTAATTTAAATTATTTTTTAAAGTTATTAATTAATCAAAATTGTTACAAAATGTTCTTTTTCAATCGTGAAAATCCAATTGTGACAATTGAATTGATTGACACTAATGAACCTGGAAGTGGATCGGATATTGATGATGAGCAAGAGGAAGAAGTAAAGGAAAGTGCTAATGTTGTATCTCTGCTAGCGTGGCCTGAATTTCTTGAAAAACATGGAGTGAATGATGTAAGTGGGGTGAAAGATGTAATTTTAAAAAATAATAATAAAATATAAGGTGATTAAAAAGTTGTGTTAATTAATTGAATTATGTTTTTATATTGCTTATTTTTATTCCTCTTCTATTAAATATTAAAATTTTCTTATTTTTATTGATATCTTTTTACTTTATCTTGCATTTTCTTTCTTCCAAAACAAATTTAGTTATCTTATTCACACAATTTAAAATATTGGTGAATATAAATAAGTAGTAGAGTAGGAGCTTAAATTCAAAGACTATATTTTTAATTCATTTTTAAAAAATTAATTTTATCAATTATAGGAAGGATTAGCAACAAAAATAACAGGAATTAAAAAATGCAAAACTTACGTTTCTCGAAATTTACGACATCGACGACTAATGTTACTCAAACTTTCTGAACTTAAAAATTTACAAAATAATGAAACTTCATCAGAAATAAAATCAGAAGAAAAAAATATTACAAAAAAGAAAATACCTCAATTCTTTATTAGTCGAGGCTTTTTTAAATTGTTAAATATTCAAAATCCTTTGAAAGAAATGAAATTTGATATGTTTTACGATGGAGGAACTGAAACAGACATAATTATAAAGAAAGGTGTTTTAGGGAAGGTGATCTGATTATTTTTTGATTTTAAATTTAATTTCCATTCATTTTATTAGAGTCTTCGCAAGAAAAAAGTATTGGATCGAAGAAGGCGCTGGATAACTTGGCTAGACAAGAGACAACGTGATCAAATGATTAGTGCTCGTTGGCTTACTACTGGGTGCACAACAAAAATTGATTCCCATCCAAGATTTAGATATCTTAAATTTACAAGATATTCTTCAAGATAATTTCTCTCCCATCTTACATTTTTTCAATTTTATATTTTTGCATTTTAAAAAATATTTTAAAAACAAATATGACCCTTAGTTTGTGAAATTTGTAATCATTATTTTTTCTTTAATTGTAAATTAATGTTAGCGGTGACCCCCGGTTTTTAGTCAAATACTGTTTTGGGAGAATTTTTATTAAGTCAACCATTTTCTTAAATTCTGTTTTAAAATGGTCACCGCCAACATTATTTTATTAAACCTAATAATTCTAAAAAGGCTTAGTTTTCTTTAATTCTTGTCTTATACATAGTATTTTCTTTAAATAGTAGTTTTCGAATAAATATTGATAAATATTATCAAAGAATATTTTAAACTGTTATTTCAGTTTTCTTGCCTCCAATTTACCTACTATTTTAGATTTTTATTTTTGTCGTTATTTTAAATTACAATGGTTCCGACGTGTTCGGACTTTTATGCTCACAATTAGATCTTTATCTGAAACGTCTTTTGGTCTTCCACTTTTTATAACCCAATTCTGATTTCGACTCTTAGCTTAGGAACTCAACAGTCCCGTTCCGTTATAATTTTAAGCCATTTCCCATTAAATTTACACGTCAATTTGTTTTTATGTAATTTAGCCGTGTGCTCTATCAAATTTTTTTTTAATAAAATTACAAAATGTTTCAGATTAAGTTTAAAAATATTGGTAATCTTTCACTAAAATGAAGTTAGAAACTTGTGCTTATTCTGGTTACAAAATCCATCCTGGACATGGGAAACGTGTGATTCGTTCCGATGGAAAGGTTTATTTTGTTTTCTTTTTTACAAGGTTTATTTTGGTTAATCAATTGTTTGTTTGGTTAGTATAGTTGGTTATGCTCTAGTTTTGGGGGTTGATTCTATCGTGGTTCGAGTCACCCAAGCAATCCTTCCCTGATTGCACAACGCTCAGTCCTTTGATTCTTAAAATGTTTACAAAGGCATAAAGTTGTGCTAAATAAAATTGTGAAATCCTGTTTGCCGGATATTGGTCTATTCGACCAGTTTCCCTTCCAAATGGTTTACATTTAAAATATTTAAACTTTTTAATGAAATTTTTATTTTAAGGTACAAATTTTTTTGAGTGCCAAATGTCAGAAGGGTTCTGGTTTGAAGCGTAATCCACGAGATGTTCCATGGACTGTACTTTATCGTCGCAAACATAAGAAGGTTTTTTAAATCATTTTTTAGTAATAAACCAATATTAAGTAATACATAAGATTTAATCGGTTGAATTAAATTGGGTTTCTATTGAAATGTATTTTTGGTACTATAATTTAATTACTAAAAAGTTTAGTTTATCAACTAATCACATTTTTATTTCTTTTTGCGCAATGTAGCATTTGATTTACCTAAATTTTTGGTAATATTGAAAAGGTAAAATGCGCTAAATTAATCAAACCTAAATTTCCGGGATTTGGCTCTTTATAGCCAATTTCTCTTCCAAATGGTTTAACAATTTCTATTAATACCTTTGGTAAATTTAGATTATTTTATTTTCTCATTTTAGGGAATTCATGCCGATGAAGGTCAGCAGAAGAAGCGCGTTAAACGTACTGTTCATGCTACTTCTCGCCCGGTTGCTGATATGACTGTTGAAGCATTATTGGCACAACGTAACCAAAAACCAGAATTTCGAAAGCAACAACGCGAGGCTGCAATTAAGGCGGCTAAAGAAGCTGTGCGCGCTAAGAAGGAAGAAACTAAGCGAAAGGCTGTTAAATTGGTTAATTTTTTTGAAATTAATTTAGGAAATAAGAGGGCATTGTATTATAACGCTTTTGTTGATTTTATAATTTCAATTGCGTGTCGGAACAATGCAAAAATATAAATGAAGAAATTTTACAAATTGCAAATTTCTAAATTGTTTGATATTTGCGGGTAAAATTGAGCAGACAAATTAAAATAATACAGAAGGGATAGTTTATATCTTTGATATTTTTGTTTAGTCGTTAATCCCTGTTTAGTAACTTTTTAAATATTTCAGACTAAAGCCGCTCAGCAACCAAAAGTCAAGACTAGCAAACAACCTAAGGCGCCTAAAGCACAAGTTGCTGTGAAACGTTAAAGAGATTTGAAAAGAAGAAGAAAAGTTATTTTTTATGATATCAATTTTATCGAAATTGTGTTGTTGAATTAAAAGTATTGAAAAAGAAAATAAATAAAATTGTTAATTCGTTTTTTTTATTTTTTAATTCAACTTTTTCATTTGGGTATTTTAAATATTTTAATAAGTTCTTTAAAAATTTTTTTCTAATTTTTTTGATGTCTAATTCTGTTTTGTCTTCCTCTCCTGTATTTTTTGGTGTAGCAACAGAATTGGAACCCGATGATCTTTACAAACTTGAACGTCAATATTTACCTTTAGGCAAAGTTGGCGGATTTCCTGCGTGGCTAAATCCAGTGACAATTCCTCAAAGTGAAGATTTGGAATGCTTGGTTAGTTTTTATTGAAAGCTTTCATTAAAACTTCCACACTAGATTTGTTGGAGTTTAATTGGGTGTAGGCATTGATAATATGGATGTTTTGATTATGTCCCTAAATAAAATATATCCTTGTAAAATAATTTAATTCTAACAAAAATTAGGTATGTCATTCACCTATGGCCTTTTTATTACAAATATATTGCACAAATTCATCAGAACCTCCACATGCCTTTCATCGTGTTCTTTATATATTTGCTTGTCGAAAAGGATGTGCAAATGTATTTTTCTTTAAATTATTCAATTTTTAAATTTTTTTAAGCCAAATGATTCTTCTAATTTTTCTGTTTTTCGTTGTCAATTACCCCGAGACAATCAATTTTATAGTTTTGATGGGCCAACACCTTTACCTTCTACTTCTTCAGCTTCTTTTGACCCTTTCTTTAATTCTGAGACTTTTCCCAAGCTTTGTGTTGTTTGTGGATGTCGGGCTGGGAAGAGGTGCTCAAAATGTTCAAAAAGAATGTATTGTTCGAGGAATCATCAAATAATTGTAAGGAAATTAAATTTTTAAATTTAATTTATTTGAGTAAAAAACTCCAACAATTATTATTTCATACGTTACACAAAACTTTTCTGTATAACAGTTAGAAAATTAAATAGTATTTCCTTAATGATTTTCTGGTGTTAATTATAAAAAATTATTTTTATTCTATAGGATTGGCAAACAGGCCATAGAGAAGAGTGTGGTGCAGATGAGAAAGGTAATTTATATTTTTAAACAAATTTTTATTTAAAAATTATTTTTAAAAGATTTTTTTACTTGTGCCGAAAAAGCAAAACTTCGAGAAAAACAAGGATTTACTTTTAAAGAATATGGAATTGAAATGGTTGTTGAAGAGGAGGAGGAAATTGTGGAAAATAGTGATGAGGATGAAGATGAAAATAAAATGGAAGAGGATGAAAATGAAGAAGAAGAAAAAAGAAAGAAATTAGAGGTATTTTGCTCTTTCAAGTTTTTATGATTCTAACAATTTTGTTGTCTAAAACTAAAAACCGAAAATCTCTAAAAACGAGTGATTTTATTAAAAAATTCCCTCAAAATAAAACCGGTATTTGTCTAAAACTAAAAACCGAAAACCTGGTTTTTTTAATTTGGATTAACCAAAAACCGGGGGTACCGGTAGTGAACACCCCTAGTTTTAAGGTGAACTCTTATGTTTGTCCCAAATGAAGAAAACTAATTCTCTATTGATCACAATATTTAACTTTTACCGAACAAAGGGTTACACGATTTGTAGTTGAAAACAAAAAAGACATTTTTCTTTTTTTAATTTTCTTTTGTTAGGATTTAATGATTGCTAAAGAAAATGAAAATATAAAAAATAAAAATGAAGAAGCAATTGAAGACGATTTAAATAAAATTGAAGAAGAAATAGAAGATTTAGCATTTAATAATTTTACTAAAATAATTCAACAAGAATCAAAACAAATTTTACGTTACCAAAGGGGTGGGCATTTTATTTTGGCAACAGATTTTTCTTCTCCAAATTTAATACCTAATTGTGAATTGTGTGGAGGGCCTCGACAATTTGAATTTCAATTAATGCCCTATTTACTTTCTTTAATTGATATTGACTCTGTTGGGGGACAAAGTTTAGATTGGGTTAGGAATATTTTTTTAGTTAAAAAAAAATTATTTTTTTAGGCAACTCTTTTAATATTTACTTGCAAAAATAGTTGTCAAAGTAATGAATATATTAAAGAATTTATATTTAAACAAGATTTTGTTGTTAAAGGAAGCGAGGATGAAAAGAATTAATTTGGAACAGATTAAATATTGTTAACTTGTTATTAGATTTTTAAAAATTCAGATTGGCCTAAAATAAATTTTTTAATATAAGTAAACTGGTACATATATGGATTAAAATTAGTAAATGAAAAATTGGTTTGTAATATTCGGGTTGCTAATGTTTTGGTAATTGCTTATATTAATGTTTTTGTAAATTTGCTGATTATGCTAATAACAGGAAATGTTTTACTATAAAAGCGTTGTCCCTAAACCTAATATACGCGTCAGATTACTCACTCACATCAGTCAACTTACTTCGTTGCTCGTGTCTTCAATTCAACATTGCTCAACGTGCTCAGCCATCTTCGTCTATGGAGGTGTTATCTAATCTGCTTCACGGCCTCGCAGAGGTGTGTTTGTTTAATTTTTTAAGCTTCTCCAAAAACTTTTTTCAAATTTAGGCAATTCAAGTTGTTTCGCAACAGGTTGATCAAATCGTTGAACGGGAGCGGCGAGCAGAAGCTGAGCGGGAACGACTTGGGGAGGCGGAACGAGATGTGAATCCTACTCCATCTAGTAGCAGCAGTGAAGAGAGCAGAGAGGCGGCAACGGAGGCGGAGGCGGCAAGATCATTGTCATTGCCTAGTGACAGTGATACCAATCAAACATCAGAAACCTCATCTGACGTAACTGTGCAAACCGATTCCAGGACGGATTCTGACAGTACCCATACAGAACTGAGTAGAACTCGAGAAAACGATGCTAAAGATCAGGAGGTAGGATAAGAATCCTTTTGAGTAAGTTTGAATAAAAAATTTTCAGTTGGATCCTTACGAGGTTGATCAATTGCTCGAAGCTATGCGAAGTCAAAGCAGACTTTCTGTCCCTGGTCAGTTTTATATTTGACTGAAATTAAATTGGCTAGTTTTTCCTTTTTAGAGTCAGATTTGGTTTCCACACGTTCGGCCCGTGTTCGTTCGCCACCACCGACTGAAGACGAGCACAGTACTGCAGCTGTGTCAAGGACAGTCAGCGCCCTCGAGTGGGATGATGTCTCAACCGCTAGAGTTGCTCCAAGGTGAGAGTCTTTAATTATTAACATGTAATTCCTAAAATACACTTATCGTTTTAGTGAAGAAAACTTATTGGCTAGCAGTAATAGTCCTGCTTTGGTTGCTAATCCAGCCGGAACTGAGGTGCCTGAATTGCCTGCTAATAATGACGATATCCCAACGGCAATAGAAGCTGATAAATGAAGGAAGTATATATTCATAAACGATAATCTAAAAAGAATAACACCATTTATTGTAGTAAAATCCGGTTGTAATAATGTACTTTCTTGTCTCTTTTTTTTTTGAGTAAATTATGTATTGGAGTGTTTGTTTTAAATAAAAATATTTTTTGTAAATTGAGATTAAAATTCTAATTTAGATGTTAGAAATTGATTGTTAAGGATTTGATTCGTTTGAAAGTATTGTAGAGATGCAAAGTGTAATCTCTATAATTTTTTTGGATACTTAGCAAAATCAAATTATTTTTTTTCCACGTATTTAAATAAAATAAATTAATAAAACAGTTTTTACTAAAATGTTTTAATTATCTGATAACGAACGTTTTAAATATACATTCTGTCCGGTTATTTTTCCAATTCCTTGTTTCAGTTACTCAAGTTTAAGATATGTTAATCATCTCACTTTCCTTCATACGTCAACACAATCTGGTCGGAAGGTTTAGTAAAAAGTCGGTTCGGTTCTTACGGTTTTCTTCCACTTCTTGGACTCGGTTTTTACAAAATTTCAATCTCAAAAATTTCCAAATGGTTCCCATTTTTATTTTAAACCTTTGTTAACATTTAAGCTCTTTCTAAACCTAATTTTAACCAAAATATTCTTTATAAAATTTAAAAATTAATTTATAAAAATATTTTGTACTTAAAAATATTATTTTCTAAAACGTTTAAACAGTGGATGTCTTTCATCAGCATTTCTTTTGCTAGTCCCTCCAGTTCTTTGTTGTGTTGAATAACTAATAGAATTAGCACCAGAAAATGTAGAAATATCTACATCTTTTCTAATTGCCTTAAAAATAATTTTTAAAAATTTTCTTTAAATTTCTTTCCAAACTCTATTTTGAATTCCATCATTTAATTCATCTTTTGTATCTTCTTCTAAAGTTTCAATATCTGATGCTTGCAAAACTTGACTTAAAAGTTTTAATTGTTCATCTTTCGGCCCCAAATCTAAATGTTCTTTTGCCATATCCGGAAATTCATTAACAACTTTATAAGCATATCCCTGATTAACTAAAAAACGTTGTCTTTTCCGGGAATAAGCCATTTCAACGGTATCTTGTGAAACAAGAGAATAAAAATAGGCATTAAATAAATCTGCGCTAAGCTTTTTGGCACGTAAAATACGTCCAAGTCTTTGGGCTTCTTGTCTTCGACTTCCACCATGGGCACTTATTTGGATAAGTACATTAGCTTCTGGTAAGTCGAAGGAAGTATCTGCAACCTAGAAAAAGAAAATTTTTTTTAAATGTTGTTAGTTGAAGGGGAAAGGGAAAATGTATCGAGAAAAAATTGGAGAAAAGAAAAATCTGTTAAAAGTATTCAAAATATTTTTTTTTGAATTTTTCCAAAAATTAATTAAAGAATAATTACTATAAATATGTATATCGAAAACTAAAAATCCCTCATAAATTAACAACGTTTTCTAAACACAACAGTATTAATTTACAAAAAAACACCTTAGAAACAAAAATTGTATTAACACGCGGATTGTATTGAAAATTTTGAAGAATTTTCATTCGTTCTTGTTGTGAAGTTTGTCCAAAAAGGAAAGGTTTATTCATTTGAATAGCAAACTTTTTAAGAGCAAAAACATTGTCTGAGAAAACAATTATCTTAAAATTTTTTAAATAAAAATAAAAGGGTATTTTTGTGTTTACTTTATCATTTCTTCTTTCATGAAATCTAATTAAATATTGACAAAAACGAAATTTATTTGGATTCATAACTGCTAATAATAATTTTCTATTAATTGCAGATTTTAAATAATAATCAAAAAATTCGGCAGTCATTGGACACCAAACCTAAAAATAATTAAAAAAAAATGTTTTTCTGAACCCAAAAAACACCTCGGCACACTGTACTCTAGCAATATGCCCAGCTTTTTGTAATTCCATCCAATTAGCCTCATATATTTTTGGTCCAATCAAAAAATTTAAATCAGTAATTTTATCATCTTCTCTGACAAGGGTTGCTGTTAACCCTAATTTACAATGGGCTCTAACTATTGTTAATACTCGACGAAACATTTTTGCAGGAATTGTATGGACCTCTTTTTTAAAATTATTTTTCTCAAATAATTTTTAATATTTTACCATCTAAAAGTAACAATCCCCATTCATTTCCTTCAATATATCTCATTGCTTCTTCAGCCATATAAGCACGCTTTCCTGTATAAGCAACCATTGAATATGTACTTATACAAATTGTTGGTTTAAGAGCATCTGCTCCAGTTGGGACTGAATCACGGGCATCTCGAGTAAATCTATTTATTTGAATAAAAAGGGTTTATTTTGTTTAATATTTTATTAAAATTGTGAGGAAAAATAATTTTATTCTTATTTTTATATTTTATATTCACATACTTTTTAAAAAAATAAAAAAACTTTTTTCTACCTAATAATTTGATTATCATGAATTGTTGACCAAAGCTAAAATAAATATTTTTTAAAAAATCAAAATAAATTTTTATTTCACCCTAAATTGTGCTCTCCACTGTTCAACACTAACATTACTTGTTGCTAAAACCAAACTTTAAATAAAAATTTATTTTTAAAAATAATTTCTTTCCTTCCTTTTTACCATCGTTTATTTATAGTTGTTGCTGCAGTAACCCCAACAAGTGTTTTGCCAGCCCCACAAGGTAATACAATAACTCCAGAACGGGCTCTACTATTTCCAAACATTTTTCTTAGACTTTTTTCTTGATAAGGCCTTTAAAAATATTTTTAAAAAAGAATATTTCTTTATTTTTTACCTTAAGGTTGTTGCCGGTTTTAAATCAATTTTTAAATTTGGATTGTTTGTATCATTTCTAAAGTCATATTCAGCAAGTAAAGGATATTCTAATTCAATACAGCGTTTTTGCACAATTTCAATACATTCTTGACGAACTTTTAAAAATAAATTTTAGACAAAATTATTTTTTATGAAGTTAAATGGACTGATATTTTACGCCCGTTCACGGGGATTCGCCGGGATAGGTGAGGTTTTCTTACCAGAACCCCCCCCCCCCCCCCTGTAGCTAAAATCAACGAAACCCCATCACCGTGAAAATATAGCTTTTCCCAATTAATTTAATAGTTTTTCACTTAATTTTCTATTCTAATACTACAAAAACTTTTAAAGATTATTTTAAAAAATATTTTTCCTATTCAATTTTTGTCCATTAAAAATATTAATTAATTACTTTCAAAAGCCAAAACTTCCAAACTTCTCAAAGCCTCAGTTTCCTCGTCATCCTCCTCTTCAGTTAATTTTCCATAAAAATTATCTTCTTCTTCAATATCCTTTTGTTGTTGTTTATCTTGTAATAATAAATTTGTTTTGTCTTTTTCGTTTGCTTTATTTTCTTCATTTAATTTTGAACTAAAAAATAAAATAAAATTTTATTTAAAATCTTTTTTTTACGTTGGAAATTGAATTTGATTTTGTTGTTCATCCAACATGTTTATTTTAATCATTTTCTGTGTCACATCCCCACTACTAGACGATTGAGAAACTAATTCTTCTCCAGTATTTATTAAACATTCTTGTATAACCGAATCTTTAAGTAAACGTTGAATAACATCAGAATGTCTAGATTCCACAAAATATTTGTTCTTTTTTAAAACTAATTTTACTTTTCCATAACTTAAAGTACAAGCCTTAAAAATAAAAAAAAAATTATTTAAAAAAATTTTCCTTTACTTCAATAAATTTTTTGATTCCTTCAGGCAACGAAGTTTTGCACAATCTGTCCAAATATTTAATAATATCACCAGTTTGTAATCCAATTGAGACAGCAGCATAAAGGGAGTAGGCAGTCAATTGATATTCGTGAATAAATTCTGGACGGCAAATTGGCTAAAGAAATAATTTTTTTTTAAACTTTTAAGAATAAAAGAAATTTTTTAAAAATTTCAAAAAACCTCAGCAATAGCAATCAAAAAATCGGAGGCGTGTTTATAAACAGGGGAAAAAGATTCCAAGAAAATATGTCCATCAGGGGCTACCCAAAGAGGTCTGGAAGAATGGTCTTTTTTAAGTTGCATCTCATTTCTATAATCATGAGCACCAAATTCATCTTCATTTTCGATAGCCCCACCACCTCCAAAAGCATCATCTAACCGCCTACTGGCTGCCTTTGGAGCTAAAATTAAAAACAAAAAATCAGAATTATTTTAATCAGGATTATTTTTAATTTTACCAGCTAATCCACTCAAAGATTTTTCTGCTGTAATGGAAGCCATTGAAAAAAAACTAAAAATTACTAAAATTATAAAAATTTTTAAAAATTAAAATTTTTAACAAATAAAAATCAAATTTAAATAATTGTTTTTAAAAAATATTTTTAATATACAGTAAAGCAGCTGGGGTATAGCTATTTCTCTCCTTTAGCTAGAGCAAAAGGTTATTCGGCGGCTGGGAGCGAACCAGCATCTTCAGTAGACCGGACTGATGTGTTAGCCATTACACCACGCCGCCTACTGCTCAGCCTTAGGAAATTAATAGCTATATGCTTTACAATACTAATATTTATTATTTAAAGAAATATTAAAGTGAATATAAAATTTTTATTTACAAGTGACAAGAGATTTAATTATTGCCTCTATTTACTAATTTTTAGTCTTCCTTTTCGAATTCTGCAGATTCTTTCCCTTCATCCCAAGCTGCATGAATCCACAACCCCAAAACTACATGTACCATTAAAACAGCTGCAATTGCTGAATAAAGCATAGAATCACGACTTTGCATTCCAAAATATCCTAAATTTTACTTAATTAGCTCATGTCAGAACAAATACTTTCCCAAATTTATTTCAGTTTCAAAAAAAGTCCCCTCGGATATAAACCAACTAGGAAATGTCTTCCCTAAGAAATGTCCCCCTTTTTTCCTAAGAGGGATACTTTGAAAACAACTTTTAATTTAAAATAATTACCTTCAAACACAAAATTTTTAAGTAAAAACATTGAACCCAAAGGAAGTAGCAAAATCAAAAAACTATAAGTAAATAAACTTTTCATTCGTTTCTGTACTACAGGATTTCGAAGAGTTGGAATAACTTCAGATGCCGACATTTTTCCTTTTAATTAATAATTTAAAAAAACATTCTAATTTCACTCAAATAATTTTGTAAAAACAAATAAAATTAAAATCTTTTGTCAATTAAATAAATTTATGCATTAAAAATTTACTACTCGAAGAGAAAGAAATTACGAGATGATTCAAGTTAAAAGAAATTGCTTTTTTAAAAATAGAAAAATGATTTTATTTTTAAAATATAAAAATGAAAAAAGCTTTCATTTAAAAATATTTTTTAATTTAATTTTAATTCCAAATGTAAAATTATTTTAATATTTCGACAAAACAAAAAAAATTTTCCTAAAATATATTTTCTTTTTATATTTTTGGATATGCTTTTTTCTTCAAAGAAAAATTTGTCGTGGAATATATAATTCTTAAAAAGGGACACAAGTTACATATTTAAGGCGAGACAAAAAGAAATGCGAAATACAAGTATAGATAAATAAAAACTTAAATAATCAAAAAAATAATCAAAGGAAATAAACATATTTTTTAGAATAATTTCGAGGTTTATAAAGTCATTTTAAATATAAGAGTATTTCGCAATTTGTTCTGAAAATTATTTAATAAAAAACAATATATTTAACTCCCCTATCAATAAAATTTATTTTTAATCAATTTTTTTACTTTCCACGTTTTTAGTTTTATCATCGGTTATTGCTGTCTGTTGTTCATCTTTATAAGCAATCCAAGCAAACAAACCCAAAATAACATAAACTAAAGCAGCGGCAACAAGTCCACCATACAAAACAGCTTTGTCACGAGGCAAATGGAAATAATCTTTAAATTAATTTAATAATTAAATTTATTATTTTTAAATTTATTTTTAGCTATCTTTTTGTCGAAAAATTAATTTTAAGTTTAAAAATGTTTAAATACTCGTTAACAAATAATTGCTACCAAAATAATAAAAATTAATCTTTTTATAAAAATTACCGGTAAAAATAAATCGATATGACATGTACATCGCAGTTAACGGCACTATAATCAAAACCAAACTAAATCCAATAAGTCGGGAAATAGCTCGTCCACGGGCAGCCTCATGTTTCTCATCTAACAGAGAAACTTCATTACCAGAATCAATCAATTCCACATCAGTCTCTTGAAGTTCATCACCAGTAGCCAACAATTCTTCGCGCTCTTCTAAGTCAGCATTGTCTAAATTTAAAAATGAAAAAGGAATTTATCATCTGAATCGCCAAAAACCCCCCAAGAGCATTTTTGTAGCTACGAAAGGTAGCTACCAGGGATGTCACGGGTTATCCGAAACCCGATACCCGAAACCCGGCCTTTTTTTCGACCCGATACCCGAAACCCGATCCGAGAAAATTTCTAAAACCCGACCCGAAACCCGACCCGAGAATTTTTATTTTTCAAAACCCGACCCGAAACCCGACCCGAGTTTTCTCAAAATTTTCGCCCGCGTCGCAGAAAAAGGGAAGATTTTTAGCTTAATGATCTTCCAAAATTCTGAAAATTTTCGCCTGCGGCGCTGAAAAAGGAAGAAATCTGGCTTCGGACCTTCAAGAATTCTCAAAATTTTCGCCTGCGGCGCTGAGAAGGGAAGATTTTTGGCTTTTTGGCCTTCCAAAATTCTCAAAATTTTGGCTTTTTTTCGACCCGAAACCCGATCCGAAGAAAATTTTGAAAACCCGATCCGACTTTTTGCTCAACCCGAAACCCGATCCGAGAAAAATTTTGGAAACCCGACCCGAAACCCGACATTTTTCTCAACCCGTGACATCCCTGGTAGCTACGAAAGGTAAACCCCTTCCCTTTTAAATCACCAGACCTTGAACATCTTCATCAGTACTATTTCCGACACTTCGATCATCAGCCGAAGAGCTGACAGAACTAATTGAAACCAATTTATCTTCAGTAACATCCACGCCTCCTTGAGATTTTAATGCCTCATCTCCATCAACAATGCTAATACTTTCACCATTGCTTTGAGAATGTGTGCTCATATTCTAATTATAAATTTTAAATTTTTTTAAAGAAAATTAAAAAATAAATATTCGATTTATGATAAAAATCAATTTAAAATAATAGAAAATATTTCTCAAATTTTAATCAATTAACAAATTGCGACTCAAAAATAAAAAAATAATTCAATTTGGAAGATATTGATGAAAGACACAATTTTGAGTAAGTGAATCAAGTAGTTTTGTAGAGATCCTGAGTAAAAGTTGCAACCGGCAAGTAAATGAGACGGACGATTCCTTCACTTATTTGTTTGACTGCTCCAATATATTCTAACTTAAAGAAAAAAATTTAGTGAAAGAATTTTATTGTAATTACACTTTCAGGACCGGTAATTAGTAAATAGATATTTGTATTAGAATTCGTGACGTATGTAAAATAAGGCCCAAAAGTCATTTTTAGGTAAACTTATTTGTAAATTTTACAAAAAAAATAATTACTTGAGCAATAGCAGCCATAAAACGTGCATTAAATTCCATTCCATCTATTTCTGGTGCAAATTCATAAAAATTATCAAAAAGTTTTGTCAATTGAATTGCCGATTTATCAATTCCATGTTGAACTAAAATTCCATAAACTAAACAAATATCTAATTGCTGTTGCTGTTTTTGTCCAACTTTTTCGAATTCATATTTTGAAATCTCTCCTAATTGATAGTCAATTTGAGCAGAAAGTGTTGGAATTAAGGAGGCAGAAAAAGAATTATCGGCATCGACAGAATTGTATTCAGCGACAAATTTCCATTTTTGTTGCTAAAAATAAAATTAATAAATTTAAGCATTTTAAATTAAATTTACCACGCATCTATCCAAAAATAAAGTATTTAAATAATTTAACAATTCATTATATAAAGTGTCCGATAATGGATTACGTAGCCTTTTTAAATCTTTTTCTCTTTGCAATAAAAAGGTTGAAGTGTTTAAGGATTTTCTGATTGGGAAACGACTTCTCGATAATCGAGGGTTGCCATCATTTTTTGTAGAATTAACTGAAATAAAAATATTTTTAATTTTTTCTGCCCTTTGTTTAGTACTATAAAAATGTTTTTGGGAAAATAAAAAATATTATTCAAAATTTTCAAATTAAATACAAATACCAATTTCAGAATCAGGTGCATTATTCTCCACTTCTTCGTTCAATTTATTATGATTTTCTAAACTGTTTATGAGTTGTTTACAATTGACACGTTCTCTTTGAAGTTCTGCTCCCAATTGTTGCAATATTGATAATAATGATTGTAACTTTCCTTTCCAATTATCTTTTGACCAATTTTTAGATGATGATTTAAGTTTGCTAAAAAATAAAATTTTATTTTTAAAATTTCCAAAATAAAATACTCTAATAAAATTTTGAAGAATTCCGAGTTATTTTGTAATTTGCAATGTAATGCAGTTTTTCCTCCATTAACACAAAAAATTATAGAAAACCAACCAAGAAGAGAAGAATAAATTTTCATTTGGGTTTGAATAGTAATAAGTTCTTTCTAAAATATGAAAGAAAATATAGTAATTATGGTGGTCAAAACATTGAGAATGCTTTTAATGATCTCAAACTCGAAATTTGTTAAGACAGTTAGTTTGAGAAATTGTTCAAAGCAAATTTCCACAAAATAAAAAATGTTCAACAAACCTTCGTAGGAGGTTTTCTGTTTAGAGTTGAATAAAAACAAAGAGCCAAAAGTAAAGACTTCCGTACACTATTCAGGGATCGATTATCCATTTCAAAAAGCCGTTGAGTCGGAGCTTTAATTAAAACTCCATTTGAGCGGAGAAAACAAAGTGGAAGAGTTTCCTCAAAAAGTATCCGTAGAAAGGCGTCAAATGGGTGGAATGCAGCATTGGAAAGACGAAGGTGAATTGCAACACGACGGGACATTTTTTCATAAACTGATGAAAATGAAATTGGAGTGAGAAATATTAAATAAGTTGACACTCTAAAATTAATTTTGTAAATTTTAATTTTAATAAAAAATGAAACGAAACCTCTTTTCATTAATTTTCTCAATAAATTCTTTGAAAAATAAATAATCAGATCCATCATGTTCCAAAAATAAAATTAACTTGTCTTCTTCAATTTCATCAAAAATTTTACAAATATCAGAAGATTTTGCTTTTTTAATAGTAATATTTGGAATTAATTCATTAAGTAAACGAATAAAGATTGCCCAGTCAAGACAGTGGCCGGAAAGAACCATCGATGGAATCTGTCCTGAAATTTATTTTTATTATGACTAAATTAGAACGTCAATTAAAATTAAATCTTTAACCTTCACAAAAAAAACAATTAGATAAACAAATCCTTACCATCACATTTCTTCTCCAACAAAATCTTTATTTTTTGCAAAATATCATTAAAATATCTCTCAACAGCTTTATCAATACAAAAATCCAATTCCTTAACCAAATTAGTTAGCAAGTCAATATTAATTGTAAGCTTTCTCGAGGAAATTCTTTGGTGCTTTTCCACTTTTTTAGGCGGAAAATAACGAATACCAGAATTCGCTGTTCTACTCATTGTGCATTTTAAATATTATCATTAATTTAACAATCCTTAAAGCTCTAAAATATAAATTAGAAAAACAAAAAAAATACTTTAATGATAGAAACAAATCTTTAAACAAAATTATAAAAATGATTGATCAAAATTTATCAGAACATTTTAAAAATTAAAAAAAATAAGTAAAAGCATTGGAAAGGACTGTGAAGGTCAAGACTGACATTAAATTTCGTAAGCAGGTTGCTTTTGGTTCAAAATTAATTTTTATTATTGTAAAAGATTTGCCCTACGACTAAAATGAATTTTAAAATTCTTCAGAGAAAAAAATCTGTCCGTATTTATTTTTCACCAAAATATAACAATTAATGTCAATCAAACCAGTTCGAAAGGGAAAAAGCTATTTTTTCAAAAAGTAACAAATAAATATATAATCGTTGTGTTAATAGCCATTAGTTAGTCATCGAATACAGACAGAAAAAGAACAAAAAGGCACTTCTTTTTAAACATTTAATTATATTTTAATTTACTTTTAGATTCATTATTTGAATAATATTGGCTGAAATCCCTGCTATAATTGCAAAAAAGCCAAGTAAAATTACAAAAATATTTCTTCCAATATAAAAATATCTTTCTCGTCGAGTTAGATTTAGCTTAAAAATTATTTTTAATTTCTCAAAATTTTTAAAGTTTACCTTCCAATCCTCCCAAAAAGTAATTATTTGAAAGAATGGTGGATATACTAAAGCACAAAGCGTTCCAGAAGTAACACCAACTAATGGAATTAAAACCGCCAAACGGGGAATAAGCACAGCCATTAAATAAGTAATAAATACCCAAAAGAATCTAAAGCCTTTGTCTATTACCTAAAATTATTTATAGAATTCTAAAAAGAAATATTTGCTCACAAAATCAGAAACAGTTGGAAACCGAATGCTAAACTTTCGTCGAAATCCTTTATAAAACATGTCGAAAACCACATACATTGCAATTGAGTGACCAAGTATTGACTGAACACAGAGAAATACATTCACAACAGAATAAAGACTAAATGAGAAGAGGGAATTTAATAGACTTCAACACTTCTTCTCAACTAGAGAATTAATTTAAAAATTTAAAGTTTACCCAGTATGTGGCACATTAATAGTAATAGTTTCAGCAACTTTATCACCAAATGCATTATAACCAAAAAATCCAATTGCCGTCATAAAAAGTGTACAAAGACACATTGTTGTTGGGAGAACGCCAAAATTGTCTAAAAAATCATCGGGGTTGTCCAATTTATTTTCAATAGGTAAAATCATTGTTTGACCTTCAAAGGCATACATAGACATTCCAATGAAAATTATCTAAAATTTTAAAATGGCAAAACTATTCGGAAATATATTTAACTGTATCAGCAAAATTCGTAGAAGCAGGTAATTCACTCCAATGACTTGGTTGTTGCAAAGTAAAATGCATTATAACCCCAGCTCCAAGTAAAAAGAAAACAGAAGAAATCATTGCAAAAAGGCTAATCACCCGCATTTCAGTAAACATATTTGTTGCCATTATAAAAATTGTTGCTAAAAAATAAAAATAACAAAAAATACTCTTTTAAAAAACCTATTGTTGCCATAATCGTTGTCGAAGACCCTAACAACCATCCCAATAAATGAATTAAATTTTCGGCAATAAAAAGTATTGCAACTGAACACATTCCTTAAAATATTAAAAAATATTTAATTAAAAGAAAATTACAAACCAAGTTGGTAAAAAAGAATAGTAATATTAACAATATACCTTAAAATATATATTTTTAAATTAACTGAAAATTTAAAACAATTTACATTATTCTCTTGCTATTACTCCTCAAAAAAGGTATATCGCTTTTGTCACAAACCCGTTTTGCAAAATGTCCATAATCCAGGCTTGGAACACCCGTTCTGAAAAAATATAAAAAATGGAGGAAATTTGTAATTTTAAACTTTTTTGCAAGATGTTGAGAAGAACGAACCAATATATGATTCCCGAACCAATTAAAACCAGCAATAACAACAGTGAGAATAAAAGATACCTAAAATGGGAGTTTAAATAGAAGAACGTTTTGAAGTGTGGTGGATTGGAAAGAAAAAAATGATCATTTGTTCTGCATTCACCATAGAGGAGACAATACAGGAATGGAGACCATTAAAATAAAAAAAAGAAAATACCCATTTTCCGCCAAGCATCCAGGCATAAGGCAATGAAAAACAACCTGCATTGAACATACTTTTCGAAAGAGTAAGTACCGCCCTGTGGGGCCTAAAATTAAAAATTAAATTTAAAAAAAATGAGAAATTTAAAGTTAACGTGATCACATCGCCTTGACGGCATTCTGAACGAATTACCAAAGAACGTAATTCTCCAGAAGAATCTGTTGAATTCGATGTTTGTTCACCAACTCCATTATTAACTATTACATTATTTGTTGGTTGTTGTTGTTGATATAAATCAGATTCTTGCATTTAATA